TCCTAAAACAAAATTTTTTTGTCGACAAATGACCGTTTTTTCTTAAATTCTTCAATCGATCGATCCAATAATATGCAATAGTAATCTGATGCTATTGTTTTTCCTTTTTAATAGTCCAAATAGACTATAAAAATTATTCCATTTGAATCCCAGAATACGGAAGTCAAAACTTTTTCAATCGATTGTTGAATTTATGGTCGTTTGGGAGCATTACCCTTGGGCTCTATTCATTCTCTGGTTTGTTGTCTTGTTTCCCTTAGTTATGAAGTAATAGATCCATGACGCTTACAGTCAGTTAGTTAGCTAGATTTTATATAAACATTTCCAAACAATGTTTTGAATGACGAAATCGTTGTCGTTTTTATTCCTTGGATTTTGATGAGCAAACTCGGCACCCATTTTGCTGAAAGCTTTCTCATACCCAAATATTCATGTAAAATATTCGACACACATGTATGTGATATGTTTGTCATCTCTGCTATTTGCTATCTCACGAAATTTAATTTTTAAATCATCAAACACAATTAGTGGGTTTTTTTAATTGTGACCTCTTTTGGACGACCCGGACACTCTTAATCAAAAAGACTTGTACGAGCACTTTTAAATTCAGCTTTACAGCATTTTATTGTTATTAACGATGGTGCAAGGTTGCCGTACATAGAATCCATTTCCAATTTGTTTGCATATTGTTCATTCCTTAAAATAGAGGAATTTTTCCCATTTTATAAAAAATCACCAATGAAATAGGTGCAATATTTCAGTTATCAAACCAAATAACCTAACCAAATATCTGATGGAGTCGAAACTTTTACAGCTGTCGTTTATAACTTAGCAGATATTATTTAACAAGAATACTTCATGGTACTACAAGATGTTGAATTATACTTCTAATCTTGTCATTCACCATATTTGTTACATTTCGCCCAAGTGAATACTACTTATTCGTAGATTTTATAAATATGCTCAAAACAAAACAAAATTCAATAAAAATACGGTACATTAAGAAAATATCATGATCTAAACTGTTGGCGCTCGAGTGCTTTAGGACATGGTAATATCGCATCACTCTATCCGATAGATGATGCCAGGGTTTCAGACTACCTATGTCCTCGGTTACTATTCGATAATAACTTCGCCACCATAATTCCTTCAAGAGGAGATTGGGAGGCGGGTTTGCCTACAACTCTAGGAAAGATAGCGATCTACACCGACGGGTCTAAAATGGATGAGGGCGTTGGAGCCGGAATCTTTTCTACGGACCTTATGATTAGTAAATCATACCACCTCTCAGATTCCACCTCAATATTTCAGGCTGAAGTTTTTGCCATCCTTAGGGCATGTGTTCTTGCTTTAAATATGCGCCTTCACGGAAAAGAGGTCTGCATTCTAACTAACAGTCAGGCAGCTATTAAAGCTTTATCAGCAGTCTGTCTGTCATCAAGATTAGTAGAAGAATGTAAGGAAATTATTTCTGAACTAAGTGAGAGGTCCAAGGTTACTCTAGTGTGGGTTCCCGGGCATTCTAATATTGTGGGAAATGAGCGCGCCGACGAGCTTGCTAGGCTAGGCGCCTCTTCCACGGGAACCCTTATTTCGATCCCTGCCCCTGTCAGCTACGGGCGTAGGCTGATTTGTGACCATTTTTTGCGAAAGGCAAATAGTGAGTGGACCCTTACTCTGTCAGCAGCCAGGTCAAGGGCTACTTGGCCCATTTATTCCAAATATAGAACCTCTGACTTAATCTGTAGAAACAAATCTGAGGTTTCTAAGCTAGTATCTATCTTTACGGGTCACTGGTCCATAGGACGGCATGGAGCCAGACTTGGCCTTTCCTGTGGTACCTCATGTAGTGCGTGTCTACCAACACTTGAAGAAATGACACCAGAACACCTGATGTGTTTTTGTCCAGGTCTGGCCAGAACTAGGTTTAAGTTTCTTGGGGCCCCTTTCTTCAACTCACTTAGCGATATCTCCAGCATCAGCATTAGCCAGATTCTTGCCTTTGTTAATACCTCTGGTTGGTTCTAGTTTGACCCTCTATCTACTACCCACTTTTACGAGGTTTTTGTGGACTCAAAACGGCTTTCATCCTTAGCTATTTGAGGAGGATTCGTCCTCCCTCCACCACAACTAACTAACTAAGAAAATATTATATCTTTTAAAAAGAGTAATATGCTTTAGAAAAAGTTGTTTCTTTAAGTAAAAGTATCCTAAAAACAATTTGTTGTGGTTGCATTAATTAGAGTTCTGCGAACCGAATTAATATATGTACTCCACGCAGTTTTTTATCAAAGTAACTTAACATTCGTATGTTGTACTGCATGTGATAAGTTTTTTTCATTTGAAATGTAATCGAAATTTAGCATCTTACCTATAAAGACGTAGTACAAAATTGTGAACTGTTTTCTGTTTATGCAATACTCTTACCAAACACGATATCTTCAACTCACTCATAATTCATATTTATATCTGATATGGACCAAATGCAGTGCTCTTATCTAAGACATATTATAAAATTTTGTGCTGTTTTCTGATATAAAATAAAATTGTTAGTTTCATCTGAATCGTATAAATACATATAGCTCGTTTTTATGATACGAAACGAGTATGTTTACCAAAAATTAATAATTAACATCGTAAAGAACATGATTTGCACCAGATGTATGTAAATTCATCGTATTCTGTAATAAATCCTGATCAGAGCTAAATAAAAGGCTTCATTAACAGATCCTCATCAACGAAAGCTACATATTCCTTAAATAAATTTAACACAAATGCCAGATTTTTTATGAAATTTATTGAAAAAATAAATTTGGGTTGGAAAAAATGCATTTGCAAATGTTACTCATACGCACCGTGGACCAAATTTTAACTAAATTTTTAGCGTTAAAATAAATGTATTTTTTTTTAGATGGCTTTCGTTGAAATATTTTATTTAAAGATATTAATGTGTTGTGTTTAATTTAATTTCTTTTTTTTCTGTTAATTTAATATCATAAATATTCTTTTCTTCATTGTTTCTTAAAATTTTAATTGGACTCTTTATGTCTGTATAGTCCAATATTATTCAAAAAAGTAATTGTAAGAAATTATATTCAAAACTATATTCTGTCTTATTTCACATGCATTAAATAAGCAAAAGTTATTGTTTATACATCTTTAAATAAATTTTTGTTGTCAAGAGGTGATATAAATAAATAAACAATTTAAATATTGTTTCAAAATACAATGTTTTTGATAAATTGTCGATAATTATGTTGATAAGTATTATGATTCACATTATATTCTTATCTCTGTTCAAAAATTTAAAATATAGATACTTTTGATAACCGATACTAAGTCCTCAATAACAACAAATTGAAATAATAATAAAAAAATCAAATAGCAGCCACATGTTACTTTCTCTTTAGCAGAGGATAATACAAAATACTTGTTATTTAAAAATATTGTTTTTTTATGTAAATCATGCACAAAATTTGCCACAAAACAACATTGTATCGATTTTTTATATATAAGTAATAAATTTTGTGTTTAAATATATTAAAATATCTCTTCTGAAACAATAAAAATAGATGAAAAAGTTTCTATGAACTTTATATGTTGCCTTAAGAAACATTTTCTCTACAATAAAGTTTGTAACTATATTATAAATTTTAAAGTAACCAATTTTCATTCAATGTGAAATCACAACAAACTTCAGTATTTCAGTATTGTTAGTGCATTGAAGTAATTCGATAACCTTTATGCATATATTTGTTTTATTTTCAACACATTCACAATAAAAAATTTTGAAAAGTGTTTACTAAAATCCTTTTTAAATGATTTATTGCAGTATAATTATTAAAGCAAAAAAAGAATCAATATAGAAATGTAATGAGTGAAGTTCTAACCCCCAACTTCACTTTTAATATAAAGTAGAAATTTAAAGCACCAACTGCACTTTTTATATCAACCAGACATTTAAAGGACCAACTGCATTTTTTATATCAACCAGAAATTTGAAGCACCGACTGCACTTTTTATATCAACCAGAAATTTAAATCACCAACTGCACTCTTATTATCAAATAGTGTGAGAGTAGATATAATCTATCCTGCTCTACATACAATATTAACAATAAAGAATGTACAGATTTGTATATTGTACGGTTAAGATGTTAAAGACCATATATAGTGTATATACTAATTATCAACATGAGCAGAAAATTCGACATCACTTTCTATTTCACTTGTCTGCACTTTTAATATAAAGTAGAAATTGAAAGCACCAACTGCACTTTTCATATCAACCAGAAATTTAAAGCACCAACTGCACCCTTATTATCAAGTAGTATGCAAGTAGATGAAACCTATACTACTCTGCACACAATATTAATAATAAGGAATATGTAGATGTTTGTACTGTACTGTAAAAGACGTTAAAGACCATATATAGCATATACTTTAATTATCAGCTTGAGTAGAAAATTCGACTCAACACTTTCCATCTAATTTGTCGTTTAATAAACTCTCAATTGTGGGATTAAACGAATAGAACTTTATGAGTATACAGGTCTAAAACAACACTGGTTAGTTATATAGAGTAATTTTCATTCAAAGTTATTGAAAATGAGTTCTAGTTTAGTATACATATAGTGAATTAGTACCAAAAATTTACTTGGGTCATAACTATTTGTATGAAGAAATCACTAAAAGTGACAAATTTTCATGTATATTTCACTTCTGCTTAGTAAATATTATTAACATTAAGCTTAAAAAAAATTACGAAATGTTCAATATTTAATTTAGAGTACTTGCAATATTTATTTAATATATGTATGGTATAGATTCCTAAAATATATTTATAAATAATCATTGAAATATTTTTTATGAGGTTTAATAATGCAATTGAAAAAAACTTTTGCTGTTAAAAATATAAAATAAATTACATATATTTTCATGAATATGTATTCAAGTAATTAATTTTATTTATTTTTTTTTTGATTTTTGATTATTTTTTAGAAATGTTCTGATTCAATTGTTTCCAATAAGGATATATTCCACACATTCGCACGTACTCTCGCACCTGCTTCAAAGGTAATAAAATATTTAATGCTTTAGGATATCACAAAGAATTAAAACGGAAAATATTTGCATTGCCCGCAGGTGTCAAAAAGTGTGATAAGTCTGCTCAATGCGTTCCACTGGAAAATATTCTCTATTATTGTAAGTTCAAGACCAATATGGAGTACGGAAGTGGCACGTGCCATACAGGTAATAAAAATATTTACGATTAATGGAATTTTAAAATTTGTTTTTTTTTTCTATACTTGCAGGAGTTAGCTGTATCTAATAACTTTACTATAACGCATTTTAAAGAAATAACTGATTACATACCAATTGATAAAACTGTATCTAAAATGCAAAAAATCATAGAAGAAACCTTTCGAACAACAAGAGGTAAGTAAAGTCTTTATTTATATATTTTTGCATATAACTAATTAACTAATTGAAAGTAAAAATTTTATAGACTATGACATAGGCATAAGAAATCATTAATAACAAAACTATAAAACTGTTAACTATAAATTTAGAAATGATAAAGAAAAGATACTAAAAATAAAAACAATAAGAAAGCTGACAATAGAAAGCAGTTACTACATTAGAAGAGGTGCCTTTGGTTCTAAAAAATTTTATACATTAAATAAATTAAACAAAAAATATATAATTCTTTACTGAAATACTTCAATATCATGTGATATGTAAATCACTATCACTATGTCCGGTGTATTGCTCTTTAGCGTTATACTGTGGACATGGCTTTGTAAACAATATTTGGTTATGTAGGCAAGACAGTGACAAATGTCCAGCCGGAATTTGAGAGACTGTAGGTTTGAGCACAAAAATAAATACAAGAGTTCTTTACTGAAATATTTTAATATCATGTGATATGTAAATATTCACACATATTGAAAATATATTTTTCTTGCTTATAGTTTACATATTCGTTGGAGAGCATTTTGCGATGGTGGATTTTGTGCGCTGCATGCAAAACCGTAAACTCCTTCAGGATGGCGACTATATAATAATATCGGTTGATGATGAAATCTATGATTCCAAATTGCGTTTTAATATTATGGAACGACGTAAGAAACAATTATATTATATATTTTTTATCATAAATATATGATAACTTTCTATTAAACGCTAATCTAATATATCTTATTGCATGCTTAAAAAATATCTACTTTTGCAGATTATTTAGATCCTTACATTAGAAAAGATAAGAGTAAATCACTGGATAAGCACTCATTTCGTTCAGTAATTAAAATAAGCATGTCATATCCTCAGTACCCCAATATTCGGTAATAGTTTTATAGTTTACTATTTTATAATGTTAAATGTTTATTTTTACAATACTTTTTAAAGCTTAAGTAAACACGTACACACTTAGTATAGATTTCATTAGATATTTTAAGAGTTACAAAATTTTTTATTTCGCATTCAAAAATTCTTTTAAGAATGAGCAATACATAACTTGTAGTTGAAATATAATTATATTATTATATACTTATTTTTTTATCCGTTAGTCATTTACCGCAATGATAAAATATTCCGATTTGTTATTTTTGTAGTTTTAATTTAAAACTATTTTAACGTTTGTTTCTTGAGAATTAAAATTTGTAATAGATTAAATACTCATATAATTTGAAATATGTTATTCCAAGTACTTCAATAGATTTAAATTTTAACACTTTTTAACGAATATAGGAACTTATCAATGCTCTTTGATTATATATGATTTATTGCACATAAATATACCAAATTTATAACATTGAAATATCAGATATTAACTCTTTTCATGAACTGTAACAACATAAACACAATATAGAGTGCCAAGATAGAGTTGGCAAAGCTAGCAGACAATGGGTAACCAAAAAATTGTACATCCCTGTCTACCGGAAATGCAGAAGTGGCAGGGAGGAATAAGAAAAAGAAGCAACTAAACACTTTTTCTGCAAATACTTAGATCTAACAAGACTAAGATTATAGAGTGCTAAGATAGAGTTGGCTAAGCTAGTAGACAATGAAGAATAAGAAGAATAAGAAAGAGAAGCAACTAAACACTTTCTCTGCACCCTCTACCTAGAGGGTCAGATCTCCTTATTTGCTAACCTGCAGACAGGATTGGTTAAGTAGTTAGAGAATTTCCGCTCAACTATATGTTTTCAGGTTATACTACCTGTACTCGGTCGCCAGAGCCTCGTATGTGAAAAACAGTATACGCTATGGGTAGGTGAGGTTGACAATTGAGAAGAAGACTAGACTGTATATTCGCATCACTCCTTCATTGGACTACATGCTTTTGCCTCTTACCTCCTTGAATTGTCATAAATAATTTTATTTATATTATTTTTTAAATTTATGAAGGTGGAAGGAGAAAAATATATGCGCCGATATATCAATATATTGGGTATTATTCTTCAACCTTCTGTTAAGCTAACTAGCTTAAAACGGGTTGTATATTCGCACTTGGTCGTTAGAAAATAATCTACATTGAAGTTTTAAATTACTTGGATATGAGTTTAATTTGTGTTCACTTGGATATGAGTTTAATTTGTGTTCACTTAAATAATTTTATATAATTTGTATTTATTTTTCACAATTCACTAAAAAAGTATTGCGTACTGCTTGTTCATTTCCAATTAAATAAATATTAAGCTTGAGTTGACATTATCAAGAGCATTTATTAAGCATTATAATGCGTATTTCAATTTTATTTTTACACATTTTAAAAATGTTGAACGAAGGGATTGTATTTTAATTTTACTCGGTAAATTCCCAAACTTTTAAAAATTACACAATTTATATTTGCTTTGAAGATTGTATATCCGTAATATATATTATTCAATACGAACCATTGCGAATGCTTAACCTTAAAATTTAAAATTTTTTTTTGAATAAATTTCAAAACAATTTTAGTTTAAATTTTTTTTTAATTTATTTGGTAAAGAAATAATTGCAGAAAGCAATTAAGAAAAAATTAAAAAAAGAGCAAATAAATCATGAATTAAAAGGATTTTACGCCTTCCTTAAAAGACGACAATTTCAAATGAAGTCATGTAGAGTGTTCAAGTTGCCATAAGTCCCATTTAGCCGGAGTAGTGAAATAATAACACAAAATTAATTTTTAAATATTTTTCATCCCAAAATGAAAATTGTTCATACCCGTTAAGCAAATAAGCCATCTAGGAATGAGTTGCAACATAAAAAATTCAAAATTTATGAATTTGACAAACAACGCGAATGTGTCCTTCCTCCTGCCAAAAACTATGCACTGTTCCAGAGTCAAATATTTTGGAAACAGTATTCTGGCTAATGTTGGGCGTAGTTGTGGACAAACAATGAGTTATTTGTTTTCTAATTTCGGCTCAATTAGCTATTCTCTATGACAAGATAAACAAAGAGTAGTGGTTCCGCTATTCTATTGTTAATATTTTCGAATCTCACATTACACACGTACGTACTATTATATATGCGTATAACGAATTATTTTCCTCATACGTATACACTATTAAAAAAACATCCAGAATTTTTTTTATGTATACTTTATTGATTAATTGTCAAACACAGCTACACTTGAAAAACACATTATTGTGAAATGTGGTAGTAAACGTATTATAAACATTTTTACAGCAGTTTCTGTACAAAAATTAAGGAATACGCCAGGAGGAGCCCATTTTTGGTGCCCTACCACGAGCGTGTGTTTGAAAACATAACAGTAAGTACAAAATTTTGTAAGACAATATATTTGACAGTGTATTATGACCTTTTTAATTTTTAAGGAATTTGTATTGCAGTTAGTTAAGCTATTAATTTTATATTACTCTATTTATTTGCGTCAAGGTGCCAATTTATGGACTACATTTATACGACAGTGTCATGGTCTACGCCAGAGCCTTGACGGATGTGCTTAATATGGGTGGTGATATTTACGATGGTCGCTTGGTTATGAATCAAATATTTAATCGTTCCTATCACTCAATACAGGGTTTTGATGTAAGTATAATAGAATTTTTTCATGCCAATATGAATGATCGAAAAACTAATTATTATAGTACTATATGTATATACTATAGCTAATCTCTATATATATACTACCGGTAAACGGTTAAAATGTCATAGCTAAAGGCTTTATATATATAATACAATTGTTATAAATTTCCATGTAATAAAACAAATTTAAAATGAAGTAAAATAAAGCTAAAATACTACTCCTACTACTACTACTACTATTACTACTACTACTACTACTACTACTACTACTACTACTACTACTACTACTACTACTACTACTATTACTACTACTACTACTATATACTGCAACTTAAGTAGTAGAATAGAATAGAAATAAACAAGGTACTAGCTCCCACTGGAGCAGAGCACTGCGACCAGATTGATCTTTTGTGCCGTAACTGACCCTAATTGAACAGAAGACACTCCGCCTTCCGAATGAAGGCCAGAATGTCGTCCGTTGAGGACCTCCTAATGTCAGAAGGAGAGAGCACCTCTCCTCCCAGTGATTTCCTCCTTGCCCAGATCAAGGCTGGGCAGTCACAGAGAATGTGGCTCGTAGTCTCGTCTGCTTCTAAGCAGAGTCGACACTCTATCTCTTCGGACAGACCTATTTTGTTAAGGTGATAACGCAGTCCATGGTGACCCGTTAAATATCCCACCAGCAACCTTAAATCTGATCTGCTGAGGAGGGATGCCTTGCCATAACTATATGGATGAACCAGCTGTTTTGCCTGACGGTTACCTCGATTGTCACTCCAGTAGCGACCTCTCTCGGCTGAGATCCATTTATCAATTAGATAACTAGTTGTTGACCAACTTAGTCCACAATAGGGTTCTGGTCCACAGATTTTAGTTGCAGAACCTGCCCTTGCAAGGCTGTCGGCAGATTCATTTCCTTTTATACCTGTGTGTCCAGGCACCCAGCAAAGCGTCACCTTATTTCTGCTTGCCAGCTGTTGCAACATATCAAAGCAGTCTAATGAAAGTTTTGAGAAAAACCTCCAGGTGGATAGAGCTTTGATTGCCGCTTGACTATCTGAGTAAATACAGATGCGGGCGCCTTTCAACCCGTTGTTTAAGTTGATACGAGCGCAGACCTCGATGGCGTGAACCTCTGCTTGGAAGACAGTGGGCCATATACCCAGCGCTAGCGAGATTCTGGTGTTAGGACCAAATATTCCAGCACCAACACCTTCCGTGGTTTTTGAACCATCGGTAAACCATGATATCACTTCTGGTTCTGCTCCAGGGGTGCCATTTACCCAATCCAATCGATCGGGAATGAGGACTTCGAACTTTCTACCGAAGCGAAGTTCCATGTTCATGCGATCTGTCCTATCGCAGATCTCTATGCCAGGAACCAGTCTGCAGATAGAGTTTTGACTGTCAAGACTTCCGTGCATATTGATACCAGAGTGTAGCCTAGCTTCACTCAGGGCTGCCGTCTTTTTAATGAAGAGGTGCAGAGGGGTAAAACCCACTATGGACTCCATAGCTGATGTGGGACATGTTCTGATAGTTCCCGTCATAGCGATACATGCGAGTCTTTGCAGTTTATTGCATTTGAGTATTGCAGCTTTTTGTTGTGCCTTATTCCACCAAACAAGAGCTGCATAGAATACAATTGGTCTGACCATTGTACGGTAGATCCATGAGAGAATTCTGGGACTAAGGCCCCAGGTCCTACCATATGCGTTCCTGCATGTCCACATTACCCTTGTGGCTTTGCCAATTACATTATCCAGGTGAGTGTTCCAATTAAGACGCTTATCTAGGGTGATTCCTAGATATTTAACTTCGTCGGAACATTCAATAGCCGTATCTTTTATAGATAGGGACCCTAAGTTCAGTTTGTACCTTCTGGAAAATGGTACAATTACTGCTTTTTTTGGGTTAATACTTAGGCCTTCTTTTATACACCAGCTCGAAACTTTGTGTAAGGCCGCCTGCATTACGTCAGTAACTGTGGCCTCATATTTACCGCAAACTATGATTGCCAAGTCATCTGCATAACCTATGGCATGGTAGCCAGATTGTTCCAGTTTGACTAGTAGATCGTCTACTACCAACGTCCATAACAATGGTGAGAGAACCCCACCCTGGGGGCAACCCCGTACTGCACTAATGCTAACGGTGGTATTACCTAACTTGGTAGATATGTTCCTGTCACGTAACATCCTATCTATCCACGTTATTGTACAGGAGTCTATATCTTTCCGGGCCAATGCACTGGATATGGACTCATAAGATGTATTGTCAAAAGCACCTTCTACATCCAGAAATGCACATAAGGCAATTTCTTTAGATTGAAAGGTGCTTTGAATTTTGCTGACCAAGTGATACAGCGCGACCTCCGTAGATTTGCCTTTTGAGTAGGCATATTGTGTGGGGTGGAGTGGAACCGTTTGTCCCATTTTTTCCCGTATGTGCAGATCAATTAGCCTTTCGACAGTTTTTAATAAGAAGGAAGTAAGACTAATTGGTCTGTAGGACTTTGGCTGGTCCATGGGTTTATTACCCAATTTGGGAATAAAGATCACATTTACATCTCTCCAGGAGTGAGGGATGTAACCCATAATGAAACATGCCCTAAAGAGTTTGATTAATGGGTCTAGAATGATATCAGTACAATTCTGCAATAAAGCAGGAAAGATACCGTCGCCACCAGGCGCCTTGAATGGTAGGAATGAGCTGATCGCCCATTTCACCTTGTCCTTGTCAAAGATAACACCAGAAAGTGCGTGTTCCTGACGTGTAGGAGCAGTTACTTCTCTGTTTGATTTTGATGTTGATGCTCCGATTAAAGAGCCAGGGAAGTGTGTTTGCAACAGAAACTCAAGGGTATCTTCACGACCAGTGGTGAAGGATCCATCGGGTTTTTTTAAAAGGCCTACTTCGTTATTTTTGACCTTAGTTAATGCCTTGTGTAGTCTGGCAGCCTCGGGCAGCTTCTCAATACTTTCACAGTGGCTTCGCCAGCTAGTCCGTTTGGACTGTCTGATTGATTTATTGTAGTCTGTGAGTGCAATTTTATATTCTTCCCACCTACCTGAGCGTTTTGCTCTATTGAATAAGCTCCTTACTAATTTGCGCTTATTAGCTAGTTGCGAGTTCCACCAAGGAACCTTACCCAAAATTGTGGCATTGCCTGCAACCGTGCTGTTATGAAAGGAGGTTAGTAATACCTCACCTAAGTGGTTAGCGGCTAACTCTAACTCTTCTACAGTTTGTAAAGGCCTAGTTATGGAAAAGTTTGCGGAACACACTAAGTCCCTGTACCTATGCCAGTCGGTTTTTCTGGGTCGGTAAACTTTTTCTTGCTGTGCGGATATACCGGGAATTTCAAACCTAATATGTTGATGGTCAGAGAGGGACACTTCGTCCGACACATGCCAATTCCATATAGATTCCTCAATACCTCTGGTGCATAGAGTGAGATCTAGTACCTCTTCTCTAATTGCGTTAATAAATGTGGGTTTATTACCTTTGTTAGCTATATTCAAACCTGCTGATATGATATATTCTAATAGGTACTCACCCCTTTTGTTAATATCGCTGCTCCCCCACACCGTATGGTGAGCATTTGCATCGCAGCCCAAGATTAGCTGCCGCCCAGTGGACCTGCAGAAGCTAATCAGCTGCTGGACTTCCGTTGGTGGAACTGCATTTTCATCACCTGGGAAGTAGGCAGAGGCCACGACAATGTCTGTCACCCCTCCTAATGTTGGAACTTCGACAAGGACCGCTGCTAGGTCTCTAGAAATAAAGTTATTTAACGGAAGATGTTTTACGTCTCCACCGATTAAGATAGCTGCACGCGGCAGTGCTATCGAACGGTCATAAACCAGCTTACCTGATTTAGAGTTAAGACCCCGAATGTGGCCACCGAACACCCACGGCTCTTGAATAAGTCCTAGAGCAATGTTGTTGGTTTGGGCAATTCTGCACAGGGTGGCTGATGCTCCTTTTGCATGGTGCAGATTTGCCTGGAGCACTTTTAAAGTGCTCATTAGGTCTCGTTAAGAGACTTACGGACGAGACTTTCACGTTTGTCTCGTCGAGAACCTTTGTTTCTGGCACCCTTTGATTGCTCCAGTAAACATTTACTGAGTAAGGGTGGTTTAAAGATAGCGGTCCTAGGTTTACCTGCTACCGTAATCGGGCCCGTGGAGGGCATTGTGGACTTATTTCCTGAGGTGGGAATCTGAACAGCACGCCCACTAGCAGTGCCAACCGCCTTGCTAGTAGATGGACGTGCGTCTAGTTCCTCTTCCACAGGAATAGTCACCGTTGGGCAACTGTCCGTAAGGGATGTTGCCGGAGTCGAGGATGACTGGGTAGTTTTGTCATCCTTAACCACCTTTGAAGCTTTATCCATGGGTTGAGAAAGAGCGGGGGTGGTACCCTTAAGCATCAGTCTCAGGTGACCGAACCGGTATGCAATCCTACCTTTTAGTTCGGACAGCGACCTCATGGATTCGTCATCAATGACGAAAACAAGATGCAGCATCTGATCCTGCGTCAGTCTGCGTATCACTTTCCACCGTTTGGTGGAGAATTTGTTTTGAGAACCAATGGTAGCCAAAACTTTTTCGTTTGACAAAGTCAAACTTTGGGGAAAATAGCCACGAACTACATGAGTTCGTGGGAAATCCTTTTCCTCAACCACGTTAATGGCGAGCCCGCATTTGGCCCCTATGTGACCAGAAAATCGCTTGACCCACTCCGCGGTTTTGGCATCACTGCAGATGATAAGTAGCCACCCCGTTCTGGGCAAACACCCTTCGAACTCCGGCTGCATATCTTCACATTGGTGCTCTATGGCAACATCAATAATCGCCTCCTGGAGACGTGTTATTTGCTCTGTAGAGAGCGAAGTGCCAGCTGGATCAGCCGACGTGAAGCCTAAACGTACGCCTTTAACAGCTAGGCTGTACGATGGCTTGGCAAGTCCCACATGGCCTACCTTAGTTTTTTTAACGGTGGTCAAACCGGGAGATTGTTCCTCCGATCTGCCCCGCTTAATCGCAGTTGAAGACTGCGTGGCGATTTTTAGAGCTTCTGCTCTGCTAAGACCTGATGCCATAGCCGCCTTGAACCTTCTTTTCTCACTTCTTTTGAGGTGAGTGAATTTAGGAGACTCCAAAGTGAGGTTACCAACTTTGGAGCCAACGACAGTTAGACCGGACTTCTGAGAGACCACACTGTCGTTGTCGGACTCGCAAGAATCAGCAGCTTCGGAATTTGAAGACAATACTTCAATTATTTCCTGCCGCCTATCTTGAGGTCGCGACGAAGATTGACCTGGTACGATCACCGTTTCCGCGAGCGGAGAAAAAGACGGTGGCCCATCCGGATCCATCTTGATGCACACAGTAGCGCTGTCAAGATGGGTGGTGGCTTCCAGCCCAGTGGCCGGCACGTACACGGGTGAGTGTTCCGTAAAGGAATCATTTGGAGATGCCGTTAGAGTGACATCAAGCTCATCAATGTTATTTGAATTTTTATCCATGAAAAATTAGTTTAATATTCGGGAAGAGAGGTCACCCACGACATAGCCCGTTTATCGTGGGAAGTCTAATTTAAACTGGAGGTCGACAGGTATCCAGAGTTCGCATATTAAGGACCAACTATCCATGGCCATTCATCCCTCGGCATATGCTGTTCCACGTTGGATTTGAGCTTTAATTTAAGACGCTTTTGCTTGCGTCCGCCCGATTACAATTAGCCAGCATCCATAGTTGAGACATGACCATACTATGGATCTGTTTCTAGCCGCCCCCACGTAGAGGATGTAATCACACTACCGACAGTATACAACAGTTACGGCACATACACAAAGTACGTGTTTATCCCCCTGTGTATCTGACGGCGGACGGCCAACTTAAGTAGTATATTACTGATAAATTGAAATTTATACCTGTATAATTTTGTAATTAATTACTTTATTAAAGACTATATATTATAGAATAAATTAAAATCACAGATTTTATGACAAAATTATTTCTGTTTTCTAATTATTAAAAAAACCTTTTTTTTACATAAATAAGTATCTATAAATAATATACGACACAGGTAGACATCCCTAATCGACTTAAAAACTCTCTGATTTTTTAAATTCTGTATCTATCCAGCAAGTGAAAGAATCGATGCATTTTCAACTCTAACATTTGGATATTTCCTCAATTATTACAGATTATAGTGTATTTTGCATATGAACTTGGATTTCCATACTTATAGAATCTGGCTGTAGAATATACGCGGATTATATTTTTTGCACTAAATTTTTTCAGTAATGAGGCTCATTTTTGTTTTGGTGCAAATGTCAACAAATTAAATTTTCAGGCCTGGGTCAGTGAAAGTTCACTACTAACGTCAAAAAGGCCATGGCATCTATAGAAAGTTCAGTATATGGATTTTCTACTTTTTCAAATATTTTCAACAATAATTTTTTTTTACTTTTATTGATTAACTATATATCAAATTATTATGCTGAAGCCGTTTTAAGCTAGTGTATTTAAGCACTTATACTCTTTTTTAACTCGCAGTATTTTCAAAACCCCTCCTTACACCTTGACAGATTATTGTTTATCACTTCATCAGACTAAGCAATAATTGACCACAGATCTGTATACCTTCCCGAGGAGCCTGTAACCATTTTGATATACATGATATATAATTTTAAAATTTAATGAAAAAATAAAAAAAATTTTACAAATAGTTTATATCCAGCTACAGGTCACCTTTTTTGAATTAATCGTTTGTTGTGCCGAATATAAAATATATAAAAAAAATTATTAAAAAACCAGATCAAAAAACAAATACAAAATTTAATAATGAGAACCTAAAACAGAATCCCTTATTAGGATGGGTTATTAACTGTTCACTTCAATCTAATATCCTATTACATTATCGTCTATTAGGAGGTCTAAAGCCATTTCCCGCTTTTAATGAAAACTTAAATACCCGAGCTAAGTCCATTAGCTTGGGTACTGTAGAAAATAATTTCTTAATATTGTCAAATTAAGTAAAATGTACATTAGTCGCCACTAGAGCAGCGGTGAAAATGATTTAAGCGAATATTTAATAACCCACCATGGTTTTCTAACCAATAAAGATTAAATGACTTTTCTATTATAAAATCTATATTTTATTTTATTTTTATGGATTGAGATTACTAGATTTTTTTCCTATTAAAGAGAAGTCAACTTGCAAACCGATTCTGTATATTGTAAATATTGTTTTATATGGTATATTAGAAATTTAAAATTCTTTATAGACTGCTACTGGTATATCCAGATCTTTTCGATGTTTCAGACGTATTGGTAATGTACTTACCCTGGTTAGTTTATTTGCCTTTCAATTGTCTGCAATATTTCTGTAACCAAGAATCCAGAGAAAATATTACGTTTTTGAGATACATAACGGTCTAAAGCTGTTATTAATGTGATTTGGAGTAAACACAGAATCTTTAAAGCAACCAAAGTATTTAAAGTATAAATACGAAAGTTATTGCTCTATAATAATACATATTGGGATGAAAAACCTATATTAACATACGGTTATTTGTTTCAGGTTTTTAACCTTTTATATATGTAAAATAAATAATAAAAATAGTAAAATAAATAGTAAAATAAATTCTCTCAAAATTTTTAAGGATCTTACTAAGTTGTATAAATGGTATTAAGGATATTTTTCTTAAAGATCATGAAGAACAAAATAAATGTATTAGTGTAGTTTTTTTCATTAATAATAATAATAATAATATTCATCTTAATAAAGTAACTAATTTAATTTACAAAAATTAACTTTTAGTAATACCCTACATCTAAAAATTATATTTCCATTAATATCTTAGATTCATATAGATGCTAATGGGGATGCGGAAGGTAATTACACAGTAATAACATTGCAAAGTGACGCCAATACAGGATCTTCTTTGGCTAAAATGTCTATGCAACCAGTTGGATATTTTGTTTACAATAAAAAATCTCCCATTCCTGTAAGTATAAATGAAAATTTTTCAATTAATATTATATTAATGAACAATATTATTTGTTAAATACAAAAACCTTTCATATAAAGCAATATAAAACTTTTTAAGTATTTGGTTTTTAAAGTAAACCAAATATTAGGTGTACTAAAAAGTTGTCTTTAGTTAGCTTTAGTTATCTATATACCGCGTTCCTTAATTTCGATTGGATTAAGCTAAATTAAGAAACATAAGTTTTCGTGCAAAAAATAACTTTCAACAATTTAGTAAATGGTTGACCCAGTTTTGTTTGAGCGCAGAAATGTCCATCTATCAAAGAGAATATCGGTTGAAAATATAAATATTGTTTATGGTCCTATTTCGTCGATTCAATTCCAGTAATTTTGATATCAAAGATGCCCCACACACATTGTCACGGAAGACCAAATGTTGAAAATGTCGATGAAATCATAAAAATTGTCGAGTTCAACCGTCATGTAAGTACAGTTTCGATTACTCAAGAGCTATAGATTGCACAAAAAGTCATTGCACGTTTGGAACCATTTGAATAAGGCTGGATATGGAAAGAAGATGGATGTATGGTTGCCACACGATATAATGCATAAAAACCACATGGGCCGAGTTTGCATCTACGAATCGCTGCTGAATCGTAACAAAATTGACCCACTTCTGAGTTTATCGTGGATGACTTACGAGAACCTCAAGCAGAAATGATCGTGTTCGCATTGCGGCTAGCCGGCTGGCCAGGATTGATGACCAGGAAGGTGTCGGTATATGTTTAGTGGAATTGGCAAAGAATCTTCCACTACGAGCTGTTCTCCTACGGCAAAACTCTTAACTCGAAATTATACTATATATCCCAATAATTGGGCCCTATGAAAGAAACAATCGCCCATACACTGCCAGTTTTGGGCAATAGAGGAGGACTTGGGTTCCATCAGGACAACTCCAGGCCAGACACAACAATAATGACGCGCCAAAAGTTGAGAAAGCTTGGTTGGGAAGTTCTTATGCATTCACCTTATAGTCTAGACGTGTTACCAAGTGATTACCATCTAGAAATAAACAACTGGTCATTTTTAGTATATTGTAGAGATACTGCGAAGATATATGTGGAGCAGCTGATATTCTCACGCGTGCATGGAATATTTATTTATTTATCGTATTGGAATATACTTAGGAGAATTACAAACTTGAATAAATATTTATCTTAGCACAAAATAAATGTATAGATTTACAAAGATTTGATGTGCATAACAAAAATATTGCATTAGGAGTCATAACATACTCCAAACATCAGTCTTCTGTTAGCTATCACGAAAGATAGTTGCTTACCTTATAGTATGTGACCATATTACTTTTCAGTCCTCATACTTTCGTCCCGTGCACCTCACATTACGCGAAACATTTTTCGGTGCATTTCAAAGTTCAAAATATAAAAAATTTATTGAAATTGTTTTTTAATTTTTATTTTGTTTTTTATATGAAATTTAATCATTTAATTCTATTAATTTACTTAAGCCATTCATTAATTTTCAACGCATATGCAGAATGTGAATTTAATTTAAAAACAATTTAAATTAATTCTGCACAAATTTAATAACGAAAAAGTTCCATTCACATTAAAAATACATTTCATATAAAAACATTTTTGTATATCTTATGAATCGATGTTAAAAAAACACTTTATAAACAATAATTTCTGAATTAATTATTTGTAAAAGTGTAATTGCGGTCAAAGTAAATAATTGGAAATTAAGTTAAAAAAATATTAAGCCCATAATATCGTATTTCAGCATTATTTTAAGTATTTAAATAAAAATTAAATGCTTTTTGTATAGTCGGAATTTCATTTCTAATTTAAAATAATTTTAATATTAATTGAAATAAAATAAACTTAATAATTGTTTAAAATTATTTGTGTAAAATCGCAAAGTATCAAGTATCCATTTATTTTTGCTTAAGTGTTACTCGTATACTTTTTTCCAGAAGCAAATTAGACAACAGGTAATAATATACAGGGTTAGTAAATTGAACTATATTTTACCTATATGAAATTATATTTTATAAATTCAAATTACAAAAATTTGTGAAAATAATCAAAATTTCAGATAGCATTCACTCTAACTTGACGGGGTCACATTTTGCCTTGACTATGGCCCTCAAACGGTTAACAAATGAGTTGCATGCTTCACAAATGAAATCTTCCTCATCTCATCTTGTTCTACAAGTTCCAATTCCACAGATGGAATAGTCTACATCAGGCAAATTTGGAAGCCATTGTGTGGACGAAATGAAGTGTGGAACATGATTTTTTAACCATTGTTGGTTGACACGATCTTTATGAAACCGAAACCGGTGACGAGTCTTGTTGAAACGTCCATGGTCTACAACCGAAATGTTTGCATGCCCACGGCTCTTAATCAACTTCCAAAATATTTTCCAATTTCCCGATAATAAATCGCATTGATTTTGACACCAGACTCGATGAAAACGATTGAAGAACGTCCATTGGCGGTCACAGCTGCTCATACCATTACTTCAGATGGAAAATTACTTCGAGTGGCCACTTGTAGTCACAAATTTTCGTCAGTGTGTTCAGTTAAGTAACCACACGCAGTTAGAGTTTATGAACTGCTCAATGGTGAAATTTTTTTTTACCAGAGGACAAAATGTTCAGAAATTTGTCACGTTTTTCTTTGCTATTTCAGTAATTCCTTTTCTTTTTCGAGTCTAACTTTTTGTTGCTTTGGTGTAAGATCTTGGGCCTCTTGGGACTTGTAAAACTTTATCTTAAGCTCATTTTGAATATGCATCAGATGATTTGCTGGAATATTTTCAATACTTTGCTCATATGATTGCCACTACGACGTGGATTTCGTTCAAATATAACCTTCACTTTTCGAATTATGTCAGATGATGTTGTAGTTTTTTTTCGTCCACCATCATAGCATTTAGGTTGCTGCCTGTACTATAATAACAACTTATGACAAGATACTCAAACATTTTATTCAAATTGTTGTGTTTAAGCTCACGAATAATAGCTGGTTATGATTTTCCAGTCAAATATAACGCAATCACACTATAACGTTTGAATTCCGATTCGAATAACTTTTGTTCCATAAAACTTAGACACAAATACTTGTAGTAGTTTGTACACAATATAAAGACCTGTCATTCGTATGGATTTCACGTAGTTGAAAATATCACTTTGACAGATAGACCGACCTGTGTGTAGTTAGTAACACTTCAATCGTCTTACCCTGTATATAACCTTGGATGACAATTCTGTTTGCCATATATCACTAAAATAATTCTACAAAATCAGTACCATAAAATAGATGAACTTTTACAGTTCTAAAATATAATAATAAATTATTACGCATATCAAAAGTGGGAATCTATATTGCCATATATCACACAAACAATATTCCGAAATCAGGGCCGTAAAATGGATGACCTTTTGTAATTAGTTCTGGAATATAAATACGAGTATAAATTAACAATGGTTGTTAAATTTTTATTCAAACGAATTTTAAGAATATTGCCTTATGGTTCCTTATCTCATTTATCTACACAGAGTTTTTATATTAAAAGAACATAATGCAATGTAATGTACCTAAAATATATGTAGTTAATGTAGTTAATGTAGTCAATCATCATTTTGATATATTTGAGGTACTTTTGAACGCAATTGTAAACAAATTAAAAATTTATGTACCGAACAAAATTTTGATACGTTTTAAAAATATTTTATTTTGGTGTAAACGAAAAAAAAAAAAAATAATTACCCAATTTAATTTATGTTTTTGTTTTAGGAATTCCGTTATTATAAAAATGATCGCCCCATACAATGGCTCAAAGGGCGGCCTCCATTAGCAAAGCCCATTTGTGGCTTCCATGGTGAATTGTGCCCGACACGTAAATTGGACTGGCGTTACACAGTGGCTGCTTGCTTTTTTGGCTTTGTTGTCATCGTGGCTGGCATTTTTCTCATTAAGTAGTGAAGGCTCATTTGATTTTTTAATGTTATTTTTGATATATTAAAAGCTATACATATATATCTCGAAATGTACATATATACATCAATATATATGTATTTGCTATTAAGCAAGTTTATATACAAACATTAACCATAATAACTCAATGTTCAATATTGAATATTCGTTTCTACGAGTATCAAAATTTAGAAGTTAAAGTCTTTTAAATTTTTTAATTTTTATTCCATTGAAGGCATTATCGTTATGAGCAAACATTGGCGGGACTACTGTGGAAGGTTGATATGAAGGATGTCACAATTATAAATATTGATAATAATACGGAATGTAACAATTTCATGAAGAATAAAAGCATTGTACGTATGAAATTATGTGTTTACCGATAAATATAACATGTAACCATGACATTTAATTTTAATATTTTTGTATTTATTGTATATTCTCAAATGAAAAATTTTTAATTTATTGTTGTCTTCTGTGTAATTCGCAGTTTCAAATATGTAGACAAAGTATCCTGATGGGCGGAGATACCAACAAGAAAGCCTACACCAATATTGGTAAGTGAGTGAAACTAAATAACATACGTATATACTACAAAAAATATTTTAAATTATAAGAAATAATTTAATATTTAATGTTTTCAATATTTTTGTTAAAAAATTTATTATTGGCTTCAATTCATCCAACTAACTACTATTTAATAATTATCTTTAAAATCCAATACAAATTGCGTTTGTCAAAATAGTACACAAAATATATAAACGTGTCTTTCTTAGTACATCAGAATCATATATTCTATATAATAAATATATACAATGGATTACTTACTTATTTGGTCATAACAACCCGTTACCAACTTTCGGCCTGATGCAGCATCTATCTCACTCAACTTGATCCCTCCACCGGTTTTACAGTCTACCTCTACGGCTTCTACGGAATGGTTTATTTATTTAAAATTCATAAAAATACCATGGTAAATTTAAACCATAAAAAACTTGATTAAAGCAATTAAAGATCCACAAAGAATAACATAAAGGTTTAAATATATTAGATGATCCCACTTATTTAACATAAAAAAGGAATAGAAAATACATTTTTGCTGCTGTTAAAAATCATTTAACTTGGCTTAAGGAAATTTGATTACTTACTTATTTATTTAGCCATAACAACCCGTTACCAAGTTTCGAACTGGCGCAGCATGTCTCTCCAGACGTCTCTGCTGCGCTTCTTCTTCTCTAGTCTCCCACAACAAGTGCAGTTAGTACTCCCTCAACTTGATCACTTCACAAGAGACTTCCTTTAAATACTACCTCAAATAACTCTTTTGCTGAAGCATCTTCAGCCATTCTCACGGCATGACCAATCGAGCGAAGCCGCTGGATATTAATTCGCTGAATTATATCAATGTTGTGTTACAGCTCGTACAGCTCGTAGTTCATTCGGATGCGGTTGTTGTCGCCAACTCGTAGCAGACCAAAGATCTTATGAAAAACTTTTCTCTCGGAAACCCCCAGTGCTGATTCATTATTTTGTGATAACGTCCATGCTTGAAGGATCTTATGAAAAACTTTTCTCTCGGAAACCTCCAGTGGTGATTCATTATTTTGTGATAACGTCCATGCTTGAAGAATGTTTAATTTGATGAGATTTTTTAAAGCTTATATCGCGTCGGTTGCCACACTTAGTCTGAATGTTAGAATTTTTTAAAGTTCTTTCTACGCTTCGGTTGTATGACTTTATTATGTCAATTTTCAATTTATTAACTTGGCTATAATATTTTTTTTTGTTTTGCAAATTTTGAGTTTTGATATTTCTGATAGAGAGATTTTAATATTCATTTTTACAAAACATTTCTGCAAATTACCAGTATTTTCTTTTTTCCATTACTTAAAATCTACTACCATTTTTTCACACTTTATGATATCAGTTCACCAGGACATTTTGTTACAAAATAGATATCTTTCAACGCATTAAATATTTGATTTAAGTAATAAACTTTATCCATATAATTATGGATAAATTATTTTTAAAAACCTTAAAGGCTTATATGTTACATATGGCAGTGCAACTCTCTTTCTAATAGTCACATTATTCGGCACATACCTTTTTAAATATATACCATAGATCAATTTCGGTTGTTAACCGACCAATTCTTTTTAATTCGAAAACTAGAAGTTTTGGCGTTCTAATATAACTTATATATATATAATTTGTTAATAAATTTTCTCAGCAAATTAACAAAAAACTCCATGTCCAAATACATAAGTCAAAGCCAACACTGACTCTGAGCTTCAAATTTGACAGGGTTTTTGATATTTTCCACCCTTGATATTTGCAGTCTTAAAAAAATTATTTATGAATAATACTCGAAACAGCTGTATGGTCAGCTAAACATTCAACTGATAAAAAAAAATAATAATAAATTTTATTGTTGCAATTTATTACTATTTAAAATTATTAAATATAATAATTTTAATAGTAATAGTAATATAGTTACAACCGTCATAACTGAGGTTAAAATAAAATTTAATATAAAATAATTTACTGTATACTAATAATACTATTAAATCAATATAATATGAATGAATAAATCAATATGAGAATGAATGCCTTCAATAATTCGCAAAATGATAACATAAAACACGTAATTATTGCAAACAAATTCATTTCATCAATTTCAAAACTCATTAACAATAATAAAAAATCATTATCCTTATTAGACTCAATTAATAAGATTTTATACAAAAATTATGTATTTCCATCAGCCGCAAAATGAATGTGTAATGAATAATTAATGAACGAATCCCGGGGTTCCTACTTTAAATTACACACTGCAAATTCTGTGCTTAAAAACTCGCTGAAGGTTTTAAAACAAATTTAATACGTATTTCTCAGTATTCGAATAAAATTATAATTCAAATCAAAAATAAATCTATTAATAACAAATCGATGTATACGATACAAAGGCTTACTTCCACAACGGGTCATGAATAATTATTATCCTTCCGTAATTTTATTTTTCCGATATGAACATGTGAGTTTATTTCATTGAAATTGGAATTGGAGTGCACAAGTATCTCTATACTTACTAAGGGAATAAACAAGAGATTGTAATAAATACAATAAATTATAATGAATAAAAAATAATCAGAGCTTTAAAAAAATGAAATAATGTAAAAATAAATTGTCTTAACCGCACAGTTTGCTAGGAGATCAACAAGGATTTCGCTTTAAGAATGCTGTTGTAGGTTTATTTTACAATAGAACAATTAACATTAGACTTTCTGCAAAGCCATCAAATTATCAGTTAGTCGAGTCTAATTAGTACCCTTTATATAGAGCAACATAATTATTATTTATGTATTGTAAGTAATACCCATCTCCTATAAACATTAAACGATGTAATCTAGTCGTACTCGAAGTCTTGAGAGCGTTGTATTTTTTTTATTTCAAACATTTTCCAAAACAAATTTTTCTAATATATTTGGACTATCTTTGAAGCACAAGACTATCTTTGAAGCACAATATTATATTATATATGATTATATTATATATATATGATTAAAGTTTTTTGAAGATCTCCCAGTTAGCTAAGATACATACAGCGGTAATATTTTATATAACGAATATAAAAAGATGCCTTCGACAGAAAATATTGCACTATATATCGGTATTATAACAAAGCTGCACAATTTTCTTAAAATCCCGAAAATGATCAATTCTTAGCACAATCAAAATGATTTATAATAATTTATTTAATCGACCGACTTTAAATCCTTGCAAAAATTGAAAAAAATATGAATTAACATTTGTTTGTACTTTTGTGAGAATTTGAGTTGCTGTTCCTCAATAATTAAATTTAATTAAAATAATTAAAATTTAATTAATTATTATACGAGTTGATCATAAGTGTTTGTTACCCCTTTGTTCTTTACAGACTACCTTCGCTATGATGTCCATACAACCCTATCTTACATTTTTATAGTTAAAAAGGAAAACGTAGGTTTAATCAGGGTCTGTCTTTAAGCATAGTCGTATCAACAAAGTTAATAAAATTTATTCGGTGTAATCAAAAATTATTGCTACCAATGAAAACAGCAATAAATCGTACCAGTGGTACTGAGTAATCGAAAAACTTAATTTAGAGAGCTTACTAAGGCTTTGAATGTTTGGATTGTGTATATATGAAAAATACGAATACTGCTTGAATACCGCATTTAACACAAAAAATTCCATAGCTTAAACATTTTTAAACCTCATTTAGAATAGTTTATGTAGAACAAGCGTCACTGTTTACATATTTTTTTAACTATTTATAGATCACGAATCTTTAACTACTCTGTGAAAAGAATAAAGTCTAAAGAGAATACAGAATAAAGAGAGTAATACACTGGAAGGGTAAAAAAGTTCCAAAGATGACGAAAACTTGCTTTCTACCGTGATATAGTCTATAGATATTCTTAATACTATATATACAAAACTATTACTATTTTTTGCGATATCAAAAGCGAGTAACTGATTGATTTTCTCGACAATGATTGGGGTCGTACAATAACTGAAACATGCTATTGCTTTACTAAGAAGTTCATGATATGTATTTGGAATTGACTAATAAGCAACAGAGTTTCCCTGGTCACTCAGGTCTCAACTGGAGTGATTAATTTTTGTATTCAAAGTTCAAGGTTTAGTTTGGAGAACATAAATTCTAAACAAATAAAAAGTTAATTTTCACTGTAAATTAATATTTTTTTAAGACATCGGCACAATACATAATTTGAAAGGGTGAAGGAAATTAAAAAGCATCATTCGGAAAGGTGTATTAAAATTATGGTATATTTAAAAATAAATAACATAAGAATATTGCGAAAGATATTTTCTATTATTGAGTGCAAAACTTGATGAATATTCATTGTAATTCGGGTTCTGTCGTCATGGCGTTATTAACAATGAAGGAATTTCGTATGAGATAGTCACGTTGATAGTTGACAGTCACATCAACCAAAGTATCTATGAAAATTTTTGTTTTACTCACTTAAAATCTATAAATAATTTTCCATACAAATAGATACTAAGATATAAGCAAAAAAAAATATTTAGTAATAGATTGATACGAGGGTATGTCTGTAATTTCATCAATAATATTTACGCAAAAAACCTAATATCACAATATCACAAATATTGCATCAAACTTTATACACCCTTTCCGACGATATGTAATAGAAAACACTTACGAGTTTGCTTTAACTTCTTCGATGTATCTTTGTAACTTTAGCTTAATCTCAAGGATATACGCCTACACATACAAACAGCTTTTCTCACTCTTGGCAACCTTTTGCAAAGATAAATATTATGACAGAAATATTGTGTAAGGAACGTCACGGGTTAACTTTTTCAATTGCTCTTCAGCTTTAATGTTTTAATTTATTATTCATCAGCTCTCATGAAACAGAACATACATTAAGACTGAAAAGTTTTCGGAAATTCTCATTTAAAATTCGCGCGCTGTATATTTTTCGATATTTTAAGTTTATGTAGTTTGGCAGCACTGTCCTTAATTACTATGCCAAAAATGAGCTCGATCTGTCAGACAGTTCGTTTACGGCAGCTGTTGAAACCAGTTCACCTCAGTAGTGCGTTGCGAAATGTCTTCGACGGTCGTACGACCGTCCTGGAAGGCTTTGTACCACTCATAAACTTGAGTTTTCGATAAAACTGATTCCCCATAAGCCTTTTGTAGCATTCGCAACGATTCTGCACACGAAATTTCGTTCGAAACACAAAATTTGATGCAAACTCTTTGTTCAATATTTTTTTCCATTGTTTTTTTCGCAACGCCCTACTGAGGTGAACTGGTTTCAACAGCTGCCGTAAACGAACTGTCTGACAGATCGCGCTCATTTTTGGCATAGTAATTAAGGACAGTGCTGCCAAACTACATAAACTTAAAATATCGAAAAATATACAGCGCGCGAATTTTAAATGAGAATTTCCGAAAACTTTTCGGTCTTAATGTAAAGCTTCCTAAACAAAGCAATTTTTTTATGAAAGCTGAGGCTCACAAGTCAATCAATTTCATAAGGATTTAGTATAGCAACATAAATATAATTATGTAAGGATATTGAAAATAAGGAAATTTATATAGATTTTATGCGTACACTTAAGTAAATCAACTCATCAATATATCTATAATTTTAAATCCAATATTAAATAACAATTATTATGAGGCTTTCTGTCTTTGGGAGACTTTCTGATAGTTTCAAGAGTTGTATCTTATTAAACAGTTGTGATGCCTAAAACTTTAACGTGCATCCGTACAAATATAGTCCTCCTATTTTATTTATTTGAACATTAATAAATTGGTTTAACATCAATATTTTACAATATTATATATAAAATTAATGTTAATTTGTGGTGACCGCGATGTCCACTTTGCAATAAAAATTAAAGATAAACAAATTTGTCTATATACCATTGTTGATAAGAAAATAAACGACTGTTATACTCATCAACTGGCAAATGAAGAACAGGATCAAACCATAACAATATGGCAAAAGAGTTAATGCAATATAGCCTGTAAAAAAAATCGACAGCTAGACTGATATCTAATATAATCATCTGGCTTAAACGGAAATTGGAAGACTCAAATTACTATCTTACTCAAATGATGGTCAAACATGAGTACCTGTTTGGATTTATGACGACGTAGACTGTGACGACGCACAGTCTAGAATAGGTTTATACTAAAAAAAGAGATAAAACTTCGAATTGGACCAAATGGAACCTTAATACTTATCAGACTAGATTCATCTAAGCCAGAAAGCACGGACGTAAAGCAGCGAAATTGGGTGTTAGTGAAGCGGGCGGTATTATTGTGCAAGTGCGAGAGTGCTAGCGGTAGACTCTGTGACCAAGGTCAAGAGAGCCACGGTTGAAGAGAGGGATGATGAAGGGATCAGAGGCCCACTCATCGAGAAAAAAGGACTATTCTATCATATCTACGCAGTACATTAAAATAATTTATAATCGATAAAATCGTTGACTTTAATTTCATTCAATTGAAATAATAGTGCTTGCATAAAGCACTAAACGACATGAAATAACCACTGTAATAGCAAAACTGATTTCATGTTTAATGTTAATCTTTTCTTGCCGCGAGAGATGCGTCTTTATGACGAAAAGATAATATTTAAAAGTTAGACGGATTCGAATAGCAAAGAAAAGACAAGGACAAAAATTTTAGTTAATTTATTGAAACTTGGCTGACCATACAATGAAAATTCGCTGAATGAGATGAAGTTCAAGCCCAAATCTATCTATTGAGTTCGTACCCCAAATATATGGAGGATTTGGTCATTTCATTTGAAGTAGTCTACTTTGACGAAATACATTTTGATTTATTGAGAAAATATTTTGCTATTGTTTTTATTAATTTTGAAAACGTTTTACATAGAATGCAATCTGTATTCGGGTTTGATAAGAGGAGTCTAATTAGCGATATCTGTCTGTCAATCAGCGCTTTTTCTGTTTCTATGCAAATATATCTTTAAGTCTTTAAATTATATGAATAAAACTTTACGTAGTCATATTGTGTAAATGCAGATAAGTAAAATTTAATGTACGTAAAAAACGTTTAAAAATTTAAGAATTACAGCAAAATTTTTATAATTGTAGCGTTGAATATTTCGCGGTATATTTGTTACATATTCCATTAATTGAATTTTTGTGGCTGACCTGAATTTTTCAATTGTTTCGAATATTATGAAATACTGATCTTAAGTGGTCTTTGGAAATATTTGTTGGCTTTATAAGTCGGCATATGCAATAATTATTGGACTCAAGTGCCAGGCTTTGAATTTTGGATGTGTCAAATTTGAAGCAAACGTCAGGAGTGTTTATTATCCTTACGACTTTAATTTTTATTTTATGTGATTTGAAATTTATTTATTTAGATTTTATGAAGCTAATCAAATTTATTTAAATATATAAATAAATTAAATAGTTGAAAGTTAAATAAACATTTAACTAAATTAAAATATAATTATTATTATTATAATTATTATTATTAAAGAGAAGGGATCTTGCACTGCGACCTAAAAATCTCTTAGTGTTTCTCCAAATCAAATTTCTTTAATGAAAAACAGTATAGAGCCTATCTTTCCTAGTCTTGGATCTTTATGATCCATGAAATATTCCGCGGAAGATGTTTCTGCCGCTTGTGCATCAGTGCCGGGTACTCCCCAAGCAGGGCATTATGCAGATTCTCTCTCTTCTCTACAATATTTACCGTCAAAATTGAATTGAATTTCTAACTTCGATAGGTGATTATAATTATTCAACCTACAGTAACCGGTCAATAATCCGACATTAACTCAGGTTATTTTTTGATTTAATTTAATTTCATTTCATTTAAGGTAATCTATTTAGGTTTATAGATATATAAAAAATTACTTAAAAGCATGAAAAACAGTAGTTTTTATTTTGCTCTTTTTGGAAATTCTTTCATAACTTTTAATGAACGATATTTTTAATAAATCTCATTTTATATCCATGAAGTAGCATAATTTAAGCAAAAATAATATACTTTAATAAAACACATTTTGTTAACAAATTTAATTGTAAAATACAATAGAGACAGAATAGAGACTCTGCTTCGTGCAATTTTACTTAAAATAACTTTATTTTTTACAAAACATCACTCAACTGCAGTTGTGTTCCGGAAAAAGATACAAGGATTATATTGCACTAACCAGCATGCAAATGAACGTCTAAGCGGTGTTTCCAGAGCTCAAGGGACTACTTACATTTACAGAAATAAAACTAAAAAATAAATTGCAGCAAATACTTTGGAAACAAGAGCTATTTTTAAAAGCATTTATTAAAAAGAAATTATTTTATAGTTTGAAGCAAAAAAGTACTTACCACTGAAAGTGAAAATTACTGAGAATGGTATTTCAAGGCACAAAAAAAAACAATCGTTGTAAACAACCTTAAAGCATAATAACTCATGAAAATACATTGTAAAATAAAAAAGTAAGAATAAGCTTTATTCTGTTTTTATATGCTAAATAGGTTCTAGAAAAAATCTTACTTGTTTTTGGAAAAGATTAGCAGCATTTTGGAATTATTTTTTTTTATTAAGGAGATAATAGTTTTGTGTTAAAAGTAATTGCAACGGAGAGATAAGTAGAACTTCGAGATTTGCTATACAACAAACAAATACTTTCAAACAAATTAAATATATGGTATACCTCTCAGCTGTTCAGTTATAATTCTGTTTAAATAATGTAGAAGTGTTAAAGCCTTAAGACCCCCACAACATTTTTGTCGAACATTTAAAATGTTATTTCAGCGAGAGATTCCCTTTTACATTTGTTTTTTTTTTACTTACTTAATTGGCCATTACAGACGTGAATCGTACAGTAACCTCCTCCAACCAACCCGATCAATGGCCTGCTGTATCGTCAGTTGATTGTGTCCAATGCCAACGACTACTAAATCAAACACCACTTGTAATCGGAGCCTTTTTAATTCGTACGACATAACTAAGCAGCGAAGCTGCTGAATAATTATATCCTTAACTATTGCAATGTCATGGTATAGCTCATATAGGTCATCGCTTCATAAAATTCAATACTAGTTACCAACTCGTTAGGGACCACAGATCTCTCAAAAAAATTTTCTTTCGAAAGCTCCTGATACTTTCTGTTCTCTATTGATTTTTACCCTAGCTTCTGTACCATACAGCTTGTCGAGAAATAGCTTTATATCTCAATTGCCTATTTTACCCGAAATAACATCTCTTGACAAAAGATATAAGTCTTCGTGAAGACTTAAGGTTGACGTCACTTTTGATAGTTATGCTGGTTCCCAACACAGTCTTTCAGTAATTAAAACTTACAATTGTTGACGTAGTTCCCAAGGCATTGAGAAAATTTTTTTATTAACCAAAAAAACTTTATTTTTTCTAATTTCGACAAGATCCATTTGTTTTGCTTGTTCTCTTAAGTTACAGTTCATTAAATAATTGACTATTCTATATAAAGCAGAATTGAATATTGTTTTTTTTTTGATTATTTATTATTAATTTTTTTTTATATAATAAAAATTTTATTATTATTAATATTTTTATTAAAAATATTAATAATAACAATAGTAATAGTAACATTAGTGGACATTAGTAAAATTGAACTTTCGTAAAATTGAGGTTCATTACATTTAAAGTCTATTGTATTTCCCAATTTTAGTACCATAATTTAAAAACTCTGGTCTATTGTGTTGAAAGTATTCTATGTAACAGAAAATAGTTTTTTAGGTTGTGTTCTAGATATTTAGACACAATAGTTATTCCTTATTTTAAGCCGTATAGACTGTTATGAACTATAGCATATATATTAATAATATAAATAATATATATTTATAATATATAATAATACATATTTATAATATATAATACTATATATATAATAATATTCCATTAATTATTAGTATACGCAATGGTATATATTTTTATAATTATTTAAATTTTTTTAATTACAGGTTTATATCGTGGAAATATTGTAGCCATGAAGAAGGTTCATAAAAAAAGTGTAGATATAACACGAGCCATAAGAAAGGAACTTAAACAAATGCGTGAGGTGAGTTTCTCATTCATCATCTTTTACATTTTATTAAAAAAAAACAATTAATTTAATTAAAAGTTAATATCACTTCTCGGCAATATGATTTTAAATATCAAAAAAAAAGTATAAATACAAAAATATACAAATATTATTAGTCAAGATATACGAGTATATAAAATGTTAATATACGCAAATTCAAAAACAAATACAATTTTAGCAAATTAGTTCAATTTTTTTAAAGTCTATAGATAATGGCGAAATGATGGCAATTCACCAAGCTGTAAAATGGGTTCTATGCAATCGAACATCCGATTTACCAATCTCAATTTTTTCTGATAGCCAAGCTGCCATCAGATCACTGATTAGCACCTCAGCCACATCAATCACAACTCAAGACTGCCGTGCTTCACTAAATGACCTAGCTAGGTTTGTTAGGGTCAAACTTATTTGGGTTCCTGGTCACAAGGATATCACAGGAAATTGTAGGGCAGACAATCTAACCAAGGCAGGTGCTCTTCTCCCTAACATCAACCTCTCTGATATAGGCGTCCTACTTGCTACAGTTAAACTGGTAATCATACAAAAATACCTGAGTATAGCCAAGCAATACTGGGCTGACGAACCTCAATGTCAGATTTCTAGGTTGACTTGGCCGAACTTTGACAAGAAAAGAACCCGTCAGCTACTTCAACTAAGACGGAACCTGCTCAGCACTACGGTATCTGTGCTGACGGGACACTGCGTAATAGGAAGGCATGCTATGAGACTGGGTCTCCCCTTTAACGACTTTTGTCGAGGCTGTGGCTCTGAGGATGAGGAGGAGACTGTACTCCATCTCATGTGTCAGTGCCCTTCCCTAGCCAGAAGAAGATTAAAAATCCTTGGATCTCCTTTTCTAACTGACCTGACTGAGTTGTCATCCTGTAATGTTAGGGACCTAGCCAAGTTCATAGAACTGTCAGGTTGGTTTTCCTTTGCATAATGGGGGAGTCGTTACCTTTCTTTCGGCGTTAAATGTATACTGATTAAAATCTATATACAAATAACGTAACTCCTGTGGTACCACAACGGGCCTTTATTTGTGCTTAAGTGGGCTTTTTGGGATACAAGGCCGCCACTCCAACCTATACCTATACCTATAGATAATGTTTGCGTTCATGAAGACGTCTTAATCAAGACCGATGCACTCTGGAGATAATTTAATCATCTTGCTTTAAAGAGTGTGCCTACAGTATACCATGTGGCACCTTTACTATAAAATCGAAAGCAATCCAGTGTAGTTTAAATAACTTTCAAAAGAATAAATCTGAAGGGCCAGTGACGGTATAGTAAGGGCGCTTTGATAGCTATAAAATAGGCTTCGAGTTTTCTTTACTTCAAAAGTAAATTTTTTTTGTAACAAACCTACTGACGTGTAACACTTTATCAAAATTTTTTGCCGTTGGACATTTTTTTTATTTTGATATAATTAAAAACTATCAAAATACTTACTACTGGACATAGACAAAAACACTATTATTTCATTCACTATAACAGCTCGTTATTTTTTATCTAATCTATTATTTGTAAGTTAATATTTTAAATGGTTAGCTTTTGAACCATTCAACTTATAGAATGGAAAAGAATATTTCAACCTATATGGATGACTCAAAAATGAACTACGAGGTAGGACCAGGAATCTTCTCGTCTTCTGCAGCTATATAAAATTCTCTTAAGCTACCTAATAAAGCCACGGTTGTTCATGCTGATATTTTAGCCTTAAATTAAATTAGATTAAATTAAAATTAATTTAATTAAATTAAAATAAGTTTATGTTGTTAGCATATAAAAATATTGTGCACTTTTCTATTTAAAATTCATTTTAATTGGTACTTTTAAGATTAAAATCAATCATATTCCTTCTTCTATATCTTCTTACGAATGTCTCTGCTAATTTGATGAAATATTTTAAATTTTTTACAGATCCGTCATGAGAATATAATTAATTTCATTGGTGTATCTATAGATCATGGTTCAGTTATTATATTTACTACTTATTGTGCTCGAGGCAGCTTAGAAGATGTATTGGCTAATGACGACTTACATTTGGATCACATGTTTGTGTCTTCGTTAGTAAGTGACATACTCAAAGGCATGATATATTTACATGATTCCGATATAATATCGCATGGAAATTTGCGTTCCAGTAATTGTTTAATTGATTCGCGCTGGGTATGCCAAATAAGTGACTTCGGTTTGCATGAATTTAAAAACGGGCAAGATGAACCACGCAAGTACGTAAGCAATAAATGTATTCATTGCTTTTATAATATATACATATATATTTTTTCTAAGTCAAATAACTATGTCAATAATGATGAAAATAACTTGCAATTTCTTATTTAACATGTCTACATCATATTGACGAACGAAAGAAGAGAATTGAATTTGAAACGTGCTTTATGGAGAGCACCAGAGCTTTTACGAGATCCAACGCATTTACCACGCGGAACACAAAAGGGCGATGTCTATTCATTTGGTATTGTTTTATATGAAATAATTGGCAGAAAAGGACCGTGGGGAGAAACCAACTACACTCACGAGGGTAAAACCACAAAATTAAATGAAATTATTATATTTCCCTAACACTTCCTTCACAAACAGTTTTTTTTTTAAATTAAGTATTTATTGATATAAATACAATCACAAATGAATGGAATAATGATAATAAAAAAATTTATGAATTCATTTTTTACTATTTTTACTATTGAATAGAAATTGTGAAGTTTGTTAAACAACCAGAGCTACTGCATCATGGCTACTTACGTCCCTCAATCACACAATTGGATATACCAGATTACGTGCGACAAACATTGCGCTTATGTTGGGAAGAGGATCCCGAAACTCGTCCCGACATACGCCTGATACGCATCAAGTTAAAGGAGTTGCAAAGTGGACTGTAAGTAATTAATAATATTTAAATCAACTTAATGATTTCAGTAAAATTTCTTATCTAAAATATTTAAAGTCATATTTCAATTCATGCAAATATCACATCATTGTCATTTTCAATTTACATGATCCGGAATATATATTTATATATATATTTCAATCAAGCATTTCTTATACTTATCTTTTATATGTTAATATAACGTACCATTTTATTTTTGTAGAAAATCGAATATATTTGATAATATGTTATCTATTATGGAAAAATATGCATATAATCTGGAGGGTCTTGTCCAAGAACGAACCAATTTATTATACGAAGAAAAGAAGAAGACCGATATGCTGTTATATCAAATGCTACCACGGTAAAAATATAATATAAAATGATAATATATTTATTATAGTAATATTTTAAAAAACGACAATGCAGATAAATAATAATTTTAATTCAATATTTAAAACATTTTTGCATTTCAATGTCCTATAACTTACAACTTTTGCAGTTATATTGAAAACAAAAAGATTGCTTGTAAAAAATAAAGTCGGCAATGTTGATAATGTAATATGTGCTACACTGTTTGCTAATATACTTGCTTAGTAATATTTAAAAAAACACTTTTAATCGGAATCGAAAAAATTAGTATTCACGGTTAACAAATTTTCATACAACTTGATTCATGGGTATTTCTATTCAATTGCCATTTTTTACTTCGTTTATAATACCAATCTTTCAATTATTTCAATTATAAACATATATTTTTTACACGAAATTTAAATAAACTAAGTCATATGATTCTTAACTAATATATAAATATTGAACTACAGGAATGAAATAGTTTACTGACGTTTATAAACTTAAAATAGCCGCTGAATGAACATTAGTTATTTTTAAAAGAATAAATAAAATGATATTAATCATTAAATAAACCTAATATTCATATATAGGACAAACATATGAAAAATATTCACTTGGAACTAAACTGAAAAATCTCATGTTTTTGCCAGACCGAATATCGGGACTAAATCCATATATATATTTTTAATTGAACTGGAGTGTGAACATAATAATTTCCAAAACAGTAATACATCGTAGTGGTATAATACTCAAAGCTATACAACATTTATAAATCTAAAAATATATATGTTGTTCAGGTTTTATTGAAACAGTTTCCATTAATTACGACTTAGAATATGTCCTATTAATGACATGCGATACTACAGGCTAGTTTCCATTAACTGCGACTTAGAATAAAAAAAAATTGATAACACTATATACTATACTATGTACTACAGGCTATTGACACTTTTTAATCAAAATATATTATTAATTGCTAAATTTATATTCTGCCATTGAAAAATTATGATTAAGATTTTATAATTATATTCGTATAATTATTCATAAAATTTTAATTCAAGATGACCAGACTTAACTAAGGGTATGGCCTTTTCAGCTAATCATTTCAAGTATTTTGATATGTCCCGAAACTACCTAACGTTATTATTAGGAATACTTTGTATCACTGGCCAGTTCGGTTTTGACAAATTTAACAGGTATACTAACACATTTCAAATTGTATCACATACGCAATAGAAAGGACAGAATATCAAACCTCCAGTTTCAAGTTAACATAACATATGTCTGTATTATTTTAATTTACCTATAAATGCTTCATAAAAACCTAACGCAGTAAACAGTTTTTTTATACTTATACGATCTTTTCATAAAGTGAGGTACTTAATATTATAAAATAATACAATAATAATTATTATTGTTTGGGGATGAGGCAATACGGCCGTCGGGTCTGTTGTGCCGCCTTCTTGGTTAAGAGTAAGTCTCTAAGCCCTGTTGCCTCAATAAAAAGTAGTATAGAACTTACTTTACAGAGTAAGTATTTTAATTTAATACTAATTTAAATACTAAACACTGAAATAATTAAATATTATTAATTAAGGAAATGTTTTTATGTGTGTAGTTAAAGTTATCAAAGTAAATGCATTATACCGGATTTAGGGCGTTTAAAATGCAAATTCAAAATAATTTATGTAGAGACTACTGTTCACAGTTTATTTATTTAATTTCTCCTTCAGTACTGTCGCAGAATCGCTGAAACGTGGAGAGCCTGTGAAAGCGGAATGTTTTGATTGTGTTACTATATTATTCAGCGATATTGTGGGTTTCACCGAACTTTGCGCCACGAGCACACCCTTTGAAGTGGTAGCCATGTTAAATGATTTATACACTTGTTGCGACTCAATAATATCAAATTACGATGTCTATAAGGTGAGTATAGTGAATGAATGGTAGAACACGAAAAAAGTGGTATAATCTGAAGCATTGTTCCTCCGCTGCAAGGCTTGGTTCACATTTAAATAAATTGAATGAATAATTAAAAGTTATTTTACACATTTTGCACTTTTCGCGAATTTGGTTCAGAACATGTGCGGGCACAAACACACACATACACAAAATAATACAATTACATTTGTAATTTTTTATTTAGTTTCATACATATTTCATTCACAGGTGGAAACCATTGGCGACGCATACATGGTCGTATCAGGACTTCCACTGCGAAATGGCAACCGACACGTAGGCGAAATTGCGTCCTTAGCACTGCTTTTGCTGGAAAAAGTGGCGAATTTAAAAATACGTCACAAACCAACCGAAACGATGCAATTGCGTATTGGCGTACATTCCGGTCCATGTGCGGCCGGTGTGGTCGGTTTGAAGGTCAGATATGTATGTTGTGTTTTAACAATACTGCAATAGAATTTGCATATTTTGATTGCATTCCTCTGAGCTGTGTGGAAAATTTATAGTTTTTTTTTTTTTTTTGAATTTCATTTCACACTTTTATTGACAGATGCCGCGGTATTGTTTATTTGGCGATACGGTGAATACCGCATCACGTATGGAGAGCACCGGAGAAGCAATGAAAGTACACATTTCGGAGGAAACATACATATTATTGGAATCAAAATATAAATGCGTTGAAAGGGGTGTGATCAATATAAAGGTACGCTATTGTTCTCTTAATATTCTTTTCAAAAGATCTAGAGCAGAGCGAATAGACCATTAACTTTATACCTATAGAGAATAGCATCTGTTTATTTTGGTACTATTTTAATTATTAAAATTTAAACGCGGTGTTTTTTTTGTTTACCTTTAATTGTACATTTTTTTATTTTATTTAATTTAGTTTTTCCAGCAATTATAACATACCACATATCTCAACGAAACGTTGAGATATTTACGAAACACAAAAATAATAACACATAGGTAGATAGGTAGGTGAAATGAAAAGCGGAACGAATCTTCCTCAATTAGTAATAGTGGATAAGAGAGTGATATTAGAGCTAGCCGGATGTATTGATAAAACCAAATATTTGGACCATAAATTTAGAGTGTGTTAAAAAATGGGGCACCCAATAGCTTAAGCCTCGTTCCAAACAAATCTGGATATAGACATAACAAATATTTCAAGCGCCGATAGACATGTATTACAGGATATACGATCCAGCATTCTATTAGAACAGCTATTAATCCAAAGTTTGGAACAGTAATGAACTACAACAACAAAAATTCATTGTATATTATTTTAATCAATTGAATTTTTGGCTGACCATGCACCTGTTTCGAGTATTGCCAAATACCCAACATCAGTGGCCTTGGATATAGTTCTCATATTTAATTATTCGTAAATAAATTATTGAGACTGCAAGTATCAGTGATCGAATTCGAGCCCTTCCAAATTTGAAACTCAGACTCAATGCCGTCTTTTTTTCAAAATGTGGATTTTTCAAATATTCCACAAAACTTCTCTTTTCCATATGTGGATTTTAAAATAAATTCCTTTTTGAGTAGGAAATGAATTTCGGGAAAAATGTCTAATGCAAAAGTGTTTATATATTTATTCGTAGCAAGTTTACTAAAATCATAAAATTCATATCTTTTAAACTAAACATTTTAATTAGCCTTTCAAAACTTCTATATTTAAACTTTAAGCCGTTCTTGCCATAAACCCAGATGTCTAGAAAAATAATGGGCTGCAGATTTAAGTGCAACAAACCCAAATTAACCTAAAATCATTAAAAATTGAGAAAAATACTCAATTTTTGTCTCTCAGTATCATTATTTGCTCATACAATTCTAGAAATACTATATATTGCAAGAGAATCGCTACACAGATGAAGGTGAAAACCAATGAAATGAATTTTATTGAACATAAATCATTAGATTCACTTCTGAAACCAAATTGCAAAAATGATTTCAATTGAAAACCATTTAAATTTTAAGTTTCAGATAATATATTTAAAAAACTCTATTTTTTAGATTGAGTTGAAATTTTTCATATCTTACTAAAGATCAAATTTATAACGCAAACAAATCAAGTTTGTTTTGGGGAATATTTCATTCTAAAATATTAATCTGAAATTTAAATAGATCCTATCATGAAGGAATCTTAAAAAGTACATCCAACATTTTTAACAAACAAATATAAATCTGGCTATTGTAAAGTGAAACCATTAACGTAGAAAGAAGGGGAAAGAGAGAAATTGCGCTACGATAATTTGAAACTTACCTCGATGAGGTCATGCTATAAACGATGAGTCTGTCTGTCCTAACAAGTGTTTTCTCTTAAGTTGCAGTTACGCTTACAATGAAAAGGTTTACATATCATAGCAATTCCGCTTTAATGGATTCTTCTGAGTGGGAACTCATAAGCAACATAGTCCTCCTTCCCTGTCATTCTGGATACTATTATTATGATGAGCTCAAATGTCAGGAAATGCATAAATTTAGTTATTTACATTTTTCATAGCAGCTAAATTATCACTGAAAATTCATTTCAGTGCTAATTTCTCCTTCAATACCAATAGCTACTATTATTATGATATTTCTTAATGTGAAGAAATTCATAAAGCGGTAATATAAATTATCTATGGCAGCTTAATTATCACTGAAAGTTAATTTCAGGTTTAATGACAAAAACAAATAAAGTTGTTTCCAATTCATAGGTGTTAAATCAATTTATTTATTTCGAGAAGCAGAAATGAAAGCTAATATTTACTTATTATTGTTTAAGACACCTTTTCGGCACTTAATTCTCATTTAAATATTAATGACTTTGGAATATGATTTAGATACTCGTATGATTTTCCAATCCTGATGACGTGGCTGAATGCAATGCGAGATGCCATTGCATCCAAATGGTGTTTGTTATACATTATTTGTTCATCAGGGATATTAAGTAAAATATCTTATTCATCATTTCACCATAAATGCACATATCACAATTAAATTCATTTAATGACTATAAATTGTTGCATTGCATCAGCACCTAACATATATGTTTTGTTAAAGTATATGGAAATCCATCCAAAACAGTAGATGAAAATTATTTTGCATAATGAACATAATGAACAATAAAATCACAAAACTTATTTACTATACACTTCAAAAAAATAGATACATTAGTTTTCTTTCTCTACTTATTATAGAAGAGAATGTATTTTAGAAAAGAACTTAAGTAATTAAGTTCTTTTTTTATAGTATATGTTCTATTTTTCAGATAAATACATATTAATTTTAACAACATTGAATATCAAGGAAATTTAATTTCATTTAAGGAATTAAATTAATTTATTTATTAAGAATTAATTTTTTAATTAATAAATTAATTTAATAATTAATTTCAATGTATCAATGTGCATAAGTTAGAATATCTCTGTAGTCCAGCAAATAAAAAGGATTTGATTTTATTGGTGATAAGTTAGAATTTTTATCACCAAAGAATGATATCATTTGGAGAAGGTATGGATTTATATTGTTTGACAATACAAATGGGATCCTGATTAGTAACTAGATTTGTGCACTTGCCTGCATACGTAGAATATCTGATAGCATAATCTCCTACTTCATTTGCTTTTCTTGCCTCTTCTTTTATGAAGACTGCATTTATTATATTGTACTAGTCTTGAAGGTGTTAATGTGGTTCTAGATGCTTAACTTGACAGGGTGGCAGGCATCTAGAACCACATTAGCACCATCATGGCTGACACAACAGTTATTATTTTTGGTGGTCGAAACAAGTTTCCTGTTGTTTTTTGTTTAAGGCTTTTAAGAGCTTCTATGCAACGCTTTACTGTCGAGATACATATCAGAAGTTTGATTCTATTAATGTCTTTGATACACATTTCAACACAATCAAAACATTAATAAATATAGGTTAATGAATATTTAAAAATATAATATTTTTCCATAAACGTAATTAGCATTTTTTTAACATTCCAGAAAATATCAGTATTATCTTGAACCTTTTCAGTATTTGTTAGAGGAACCATGTGTTTATTATAAGAGCGACAACTTTTTAGAGTAATAGAGTAATAGTTTAGTTCAACATCTTATAAAATATCATCATAAATTTAATAAATCATTTTCTTATATATGTATAAGTCATAAAAATAATTTAAAAATTTGTTTTTTTATTTCGGATATATATTGCACAGTATATGTATTTATAACCTATTTAAAAAATAGCTAACAATATTTTAACTTATATTTTCTTTTCTAAAACAGGGTAAAGGCGATATGCGAACATATTGGTTAACCGGTTTAACTAACGCTGATCAGCGAATCATGCCATTTAAAGACAGTTCTACGCCAGATCTTATTAGTAATATGGATATAGAAAGCGTACTAACTAGACCCATGGCAACGCCCATATCTTGCACATCTGCTACAATATTCGAAGATGTTTCTTTAACTTCTTTCAACAGCAGTCAGAGTCAAAGGTCCTGTAATTTGTTGAATGTCTCGTATGCGCAACGCATGAAGTACGTTAGGATCAGTTGCTGTAATTGTCAGACAAAATGTTTATATAATCGTCGATCCGATGATAATGTTACCATCGAGATGCAACGAATACGTGAAAAAATAGTAACCCGTCATAATCATGGAATACGCTCCGATGAAACCAGTCAACTATGTATTTGCAGACTAAATGCCAGCAGTAGCCGAACTACGAGCAGAGGTCCGCGCTCAGCGCCAATTATTGATTTTAGACTTTAAATGAATGAATACTCGGACACCAAATAATTCGAGTTGGAATATAGATTATAAGTCAAAATTTACAAAAAAATAAGCTCTTTTAAAGTTTTTCGTGTTTTTAGTGCTGCGTTCTTTAACACGCTCTCTAAGTAAAATACGCACTTCATCAGTAACTCTCTTATTGTCTTAATTGTTAATGTGTATTGTTGTGCTTTAAAATATCTGTGTGCTTAAAATTAACGTTAGCCCATTGATGTGAAATTTTATTATATACAAAAATATGAAACACTTATAATTATTCATATATATATATATATGTATGTATATTATAATTTATATATGTGTATAGCGAAATACGTATATATTATATTTACAAAGAAATTGAATAGATTTTATTTATTATATTGAGGTTGTGAACCGTTTGTAATTGTGCGAAATTTCAAGATCAATTAATTTTCGGAAGTAATAATTTTGGTAGAGGTCAATATTAAATTAACTTAATACATATTCTTTTATTAGGTTATTTGCTTTATTTATAATTGTATTTACCATGAATAAAATTTATATATTTATATATTTTAATTGAATAAATGCAAACATATATAATGAGAAATAATATTAATTTGATATTTTAAAATTTTTCTTTAAAGCCTGCCAGCACTCATAATATTTAGCATCCAATTTTTGACAAGTTTCTTGACCCCATTTTGTAACTGCCATACTCAACGAAGACTCGAACATAAATGCCTTAGATAAAGATATATATTTAAATAATTGTATTATAAAAAATTATTATTAAATTTTGTTGAAGAACGGGCTTTTGCGTACCTGTGTTCCCTCAGCAACTCTTTCAGGTACCAATTTTGCATTAGACGCACCATCAAAGCATTTGTAATCAGGTCCATGAGGTGTCATCATTGAATGTAAAGTAGCACCTCCGGCCATGAAACCTTCTTCTTTGGCTTCATATTTACCCAAAATAAGGCCCATAAATTCACTCATGCAATTACCTTTAAAAAAAATCCATTCGAATTATGCAAGAAAAAACATTTGTTGTTAATTATATGAATAGTTTTGGATTAATATGGTTATTATTAAGCAAATCTATTATTATTATTTTATATTATCTATTAACATATATTCTGACTGAACTAGATCGCTTTTCACTATTTTATACAGTAGCTGTAGTAATAGAAAACTATTAATTAGGTCGACCCATATAGGTCAAAAAATACTTTCTTTTTAATTATGTTATGTTAGGTTAGGTTAGGTTAAACCGGCGATCCCAGGGGGATCCACTTAGGCCCATAGGCCCATTGTGATACCGTATTATTTAGAAACCCATGGGCTAAAACCATCCAGAACCTTTAACAAAGCTTACAATGCTACATAGAGGGAGTTCTCGAAGTTCGTCAAGATCCTCAAAAAAGAAAGCCCCCAAAAATTTAAGGCGACGCCGTGTATGTGCCGGACACGAAGAAAGCAGGTGAGAGGCACTTTCGTCATCCTCACCACAACTGCGACAAAAATGGTTGAACGGTAGATTCAGTCTCCTAGCATGATTACCTAGAATACAATGACCTGTTAGTAAACCTACTACAAGACTGATATCTCTACGGGATTATGTTATGTTAATAATTTTAAATTGTTTTCATATTTTTTTTATGGCAATCTATTATATTTTGATTTAGAGAAATACTCTAAATCCTTGCAGTGGGTACAATAGAACTCTAGACCGCGGCGCAAAATTCCCTAACTTGACAATAATAATACCTCAAAATTTTTGTTTGTGTTTTAAGCGTTCCCATTTTCTATGAAATGTGCTGTCACTGACGTTAATTTACCTGACGTTAATTTATGGCTAACCTTCGATTTATTTAATATAATTTTATAGTGAAGCATTACTTATGATTTTAGTGCTACTTATAAATTTATTATTAACTAATCTAATTTAAATGTTTATTAATTTTAAAGAAAATTAAAAAATTAATTTGATAAAAGCAAATTAATATAATTCAGAAATATAATAAACCACACTTACGATGATAATATGGCGGACGGAATGTATGCTCCTGCACAGACCATCTTGGAGGAAATATAACAAAATCGGCAATAGCTGTTCCATACCGTGAACTTGGACATGTAAGAACTGTGAATATACTGGGATCGCAGTGATCATAACTCACTGAATTAATGACATTAAATTTAGCTAAATCATATTTATATGGAACATAGTTGCCATGCCAAGCAACAACATCAAAGGCAGAATGTTTCTGTGAAGCCGAAAATAAAACCCCTTGATATTTTGTTAACACCTGAAAATCTAAAAAACGTTATTTGTTATTTAATTTAAATAAAAAGATAATAATAAATAAATAAAAAAAAATTAATTTAATTACTTTTAACTTCACGATCTTCAAACCATGCTACTGGTGTAAGAAAATCACGTGGATTAGCTAAACCATTGGCACCAATTGGGCCGAGATCGGGTAGATGAAAATGATTATCGTAAACTTCTAATATATAACCTCTACAAAATATATGTACAAGTATATTATTGTGTAATTTTATAGATGGTAAATTGCATTTTATACTACCTAGTAGGTCCTACAACATTAACAGCGAAGCGTATGCCCTGCGGAATGACACATATTTCATTAGGTGCTACGCTCATTTTACCGAATTCAGTAACAATATCCAGTATTCCTTCCTGAGGTACTACAAATATGAAAAGGTTTAACTATAAATATTAGATTTAATAAATTTGTTTTATGTTATAAATAAATATGTAATTAAATGCGCCTTTGAAATGCAATAAAAATCTAAATATTGAAATTATATATTTAAAAAAATTATAGACAAAAAATGAATAAATCTTTTAACCAGTCAAATAAAGACTTCTCCACTTTATTTATTCACTTAATTATACCCAATGTTCTTTAATTATTTCAAAATAGGCTATTCGATCAATTATAATATATATTTATTTATGTAATTATTTTATGAAACATAATGTATTATAATTGTTCTAATAATATTATAATAATATTATTCATTGTTATTATTATATTAAATATATAATAAAGAGACGTTTCCTTAAGGTCTTACCAATAAGAAAATCTCCATCACTATTATAAAAAGCTGCATTCTCCATTGAAGCATTACAGAGATAAATGTGTACGGCAAGTCCATGACGACTGCGTGCATCTCCTGCACCGCAAATCGTATGCAAACCTTCCACAATATTTACTCTCGCCGTTGAAGAGGGGAAATCAAAGGGCTTCCAACGCATCTAATCAATATAAAAATAATTTACTATTTACTAGACTATTTATGGATGTATATCATTAAAGAAAATATTCGTTTACCTGATTTGGGTTTGGTTCGTGTTCATCCCAATTATGACTCAAAAACTTATTATTTTTAAATGGCACAAATGGCTCGTGCACTGCACTTGGACGTATTCTATATAGCCATGTTCGTGCATTCTCTTTTCGTGGCGCAGTAAATGCTGTCCCAGACAATTGTTCGGCATATAAATCATATGGACATTTCTGTGGAGAATTTTGAGCTTCTGGTAAGGCATTTGGACAACGTTCATCTTCCGAAGAAAAATGTGAGTCAAAACCACTCATGTACTACAAAATAGAATTTAACGCAAATAATTGTAATAAAATAGGATCTAAAAGAATAAGTGTGGCACGGATAATTGTGAATCATATTATACGATTATCGTACCACCCATTATGCAAATATAAGAGTCGGACTGGTTTTAAAATATAATTGACAAACTAAAGTAACATTGTATTAAATTAAGAAAAGGGGTAATGGTATTATTATATATATTCCAGTTCGTACTAAACATTTAAGTAGTACTACTTAATAATGTTAATAGATTGACAAATATTTATTTAATAAGGCCCATGTTATGCAGTGTGTAACGACTACGTTAAAATTGTCATGCAGTGTACTTTTTGATTGTGCCTACATTTTAAAAGAAATATATACATACGGAACTGTTTTAACGCTTTACGGAACATAGGCCTAAGACAATTATTAAGAATTATTAAGCAAGGAACGCATTATTTTATGTAAAAAACTGAAGCTGCTGCTCTAGACGAGTATCTATATTTTGTTGGTGGTTGACTTCAATTTTAGTTTCACCCTACCTCAATTCACTCGTACTCTCAAATAATCCCTTTCACTCTCACACAATCAATACTCAACCACATATTTTCCCATGTATTCCTCTTGTAATTGTTTTCATGATCTCTCCTTTACAGATCCCTCTACGGGTCACAACATTATCACTAATAGTATCTTATATTTTAGTTTTGGTTTAACAGTATTAATTACATTACAAAATACGAATCAAAATATAAAAACAAAAAGATTCTCTTAATTTCAATATAAGATATATCAGCTGTTGTTCAACTTTTATTCATTAAAACATTTTCTAAAGACATATGAACTTTTTGCACTGTACAGGAATAAAATAAAATCTATTATATATAATATATATAATACATATAATTTTTCCATTTTATGATCAACACTTTTTCGGTGACATATCAAAAAGAACTATCACCCAAGACATTAGATAGATAGATGCGTACTTTTTTGAAAATGAGCCAAGTGTGAAATAAGCCATCAATTCTGATAAAATCTGATGATTCAAATGATCAAATCAAATTATTACCAATTTTTTTGTCGTGAAATGAAGATATAGATGTGGAAGAAATGTGATTTTAACAAGACTGTGCCACAAACTACTCAACCAGAAATGTTTTTCCCAGACGTGTGGTTCACATTTTGATGTTCTGAGTTGACCACTAAGTTTACTCAATTTTTCATCATTGAACCTTTAGTTTTGTAGGACTACGCAAGTGATCATATTTATGCGGGCCGACAAGCCATTGAAAAAATCACAAAGATCCAGTACTATATGACGTTCTATGAAATATATTTGTTTGATTTTGTATTTCACAACTTAAGTGCAAACTTCAAATAATATATTAAAGTGAAAATTGTATAAAAAGCTCAATCACCGAATGAGTTGTATTTACGTTGACCTACGGATTCATAAAATGGATAATCTTGTATTTTTATTATTATTTATAAATTTTATATAGAATATTACTATTTATATAATTAATTTTTAAAGTCCAAGCACAGGTCAACTGATCACATTTCAAAATGTACTATATATGCAATAGACATCTTGTCCTATACAAAAATTTTAAAGTCACGTAATAATAATGCAATATTTTTTTTTGATTTAAAAAAAATTATTTTCAATTTAATCAAAACATTAAAAAAATTTGTATACATACACACTATAAATTAATTATAGATAAAATTATTTTTATGATTATGTGTGTATGTATTCAGATATTATTAAATATTATTTTATTTTTTTTGTTAAATAAAAATTATGTTTTTTAATAACATAAAGCCATGTATTTTTATACACAATCGCATTAAAGTCAGTTAGGAATTTCACACGATAATATTTATTTAATAAATATACATATACTTTTATTAAAACAAATTTTTATATTATATTAATATTAAGAAAATTATCATTATTATAATCATTAAAAATATAAGCGGTTGACCTAATTATTTCGTAAATCTTTTCTGCATATATATTTTTTTTTTTATATTTTACACTTAAGCACGCACGATATTTGTGGCTTAATTACCTTATAGTCGCTCATAATGACGAGAACCGATTTTAGATTTATTTCAAGACTTATTTTGATTAAACCTTAAATGTGAGACGTGCAACTGTTTTTATACCTAAAACAAAGCAGTTTGCTTAGCTGTTTCTAGGATAAGAACGATTAAGATAACCAGTCAAAGAATTGATCTAGCTAATTGCTTCTAAATGCGCTATATAATTAAAGTTAGTGCAATTAGTTCCTGAGACTGTGTTTATATAAAATGATCTGCAATAAATAAGTTATTGAAAGTTATTTACAAATTTTAAGAACTAAATTTTTTTTATTGTTAATATTTCTGTTCAAATGTTTTAATTATAGCGCGATTTTTATATGTGGATTACAGTTCTACATATCTGTTTTCAATGCCTATATATATATAAAAAACCACATTTTTTTAAATAACTATTTAGGAAACATTTCAAGAATTTTGCATTTTTATTAAACGCAATTATAATATAATATAAATTTATTATATTTACATTACTATTACAACACATGATATCATCAAACAGTCTCTTAATAAATTATAGAAAAATATCTAAAACTACAACTAATCGTGTAAAATATTATAGCCGTAATCAAATGATTGAGTAATTAACAGATTTTCTGACAATCAATTAACTTGTAAACTTGCAATTCCTTACACATTATGATATTGTCTTTGTAAGAAGATCAAGACAGGCCTAGCAGTTAGATAGTGCATCCAAACTAATAAATTGGAAATATTATAACAGTTGGGGATATAATGAAATAATGAGATTTGGTACAGTGTGGAATAGTGTGTACTTAGAAGCGGAATATGTGAATATTGAAAACAACTTGAGCTACACAGATCAACAAATCGCACAGATCAACAAATAAACAGCATTATGATATTCCTTTCAAAATTCGTAAAATGAAACTGTTTAAATTTAATTCATCAATAAATAAAAGTTATTTCAAAACTTATGTGAAAATCTGTTAACAGTAGAATTACTATAAAATCTCTTTGTCAAAAATCATACTGCTTCAGTAATTTGGCGTGAATGGAATCAACATTGGAAATAGTATACCACGAAGAATGGAGAAGAATGGAAATGATGCGATCTTAAAGGACTTCCGTTATTAATATATCAACCCGGAATATGTAATCGCTTATACAGTAGCTTATAATGCGCTTTTGTAAGAAACATCGTTGATCAATTTAAATATTTTTGTTAACAAAGTTGCAATATTTTCAAGAGATAAAACAGTTTTTGTAAAGTAAGCAAACCGAAATTATTGTAGAATAGAACACTGTAAAGAAAATCTGTAATGTATACGTATTCAAGCTCAGTTAAATTATTCATATTACAGAGCATTGATACATTGCCTTAAATATATCTCCCATTTAACTTTATTATGTCACTGTTAGCTTTAGCTGTTAGTTCAGACTATATTGTTGATCTATGTTATGTCAACTTTCCCACAGCTAGCGTCAGGAATTTATTAACTCGGTTAGTCATGTAAGTTTTTTGGAATATGAGTAACAGCTTCTTCATCTCCACCTTCACCAAGAAATTTTGAATTATATTATAACTAAAGTATTGACACGAGAACGATAAAAGCCACTCATTACCTTTTTTTTCTTTTTTTTTTTAATGATACATCATGAATATTATGTCTTAACAGTTAGAAAAATACGTACATCATTTTCACCAATTTTTGTGAAATTGGTGATATAAATTAAATTAAATTTTATGTACTCTATCCCAACAAATGATATTACTGACTAACATTTCTTAGATATTCAAATAGAATCATTTGTGTATCGTGTTTTTCTGAAGCATGGCATAATGAGAAGCTTGGCCGGCTTGGCCTGGCCTGGCTAATCGAATAATAAACTGGCTTGGTATTTTTGTCAACAACAACACCTGTTATTTTTGTTTTTTTTTTTGTTTTTTGTTTTTAGTTTATCTGCACTGATTACAAACTCTCATTTGCATTTAAACAACAAATAAATAAATAAAATAAAATGTCTGACTGTTTGGAAAACTCATAAGTAAGACGATTTTATTAAAACCACTTTTAAAATTTTTCTAATAGTTCAAGCATTGTAGTCTCAGCACAACTCACAAAATCATATTTAAAAGAAAAAATAAATAACTTCAAAGCCCTTAAAGCAAACTTTCTATAAATATTCAGCGCCGCGCGTTTAACTTGTATCTCAACACATTTCACCTATCAGCAGATATTTTTAATAGCCACGCAGTTACTATCAGGCTTGTTATTTACCAGTGAAACTGGATTAAAATCAAATAAACAACAAATAAAAACAAAATATTTTTATATATCTACATATAAAAACAACAAATTTTAAGAATTTTACTTCCATGCACACAATACATATTTATAATTGGAATATATGTTTATATATATATGTTTATGTGAAAAAGCTATGTAAACTGTAAGACATATGCAGCCAAAAACTGATAACGATTTAAATATTTTCAAAGATACAACTTCCAAGCGAGGTAAGAATGTCTTTAATGTCTTTAAGACCGGCATACGGTGGAGCAGAACACCCTAAATCGGAATTATCATTACATATATAATATAGATATTATTATTATTTATACGCACTATTAGTAATATAATGTTTGGTTGCATTGGCAGGCCATTGACGAACTTCTATGTACCTTGCTTGCTTGCATGAACTCCTAATATAAAAGAGTAGAGACTAAATTCATCCTATCGAATACAGAATAAGCCTCTCGTCTTCACCGATGAATAGTTTGAAAAAATGTCAAAGAAGTATCTTCCTAAAAATCTATTTCTTCTGAACACCAAAGCCGGGCATTCACAGAGAAAATCTATTATGGTTCTTTTTTCTCCGGGTTTCCATAACTTCTGCTTTAAGAATTATAAGGAATACACAGTTTCTCTGCATGGTTTCTATAAGGAATATAAGGAATTTCTATAAGGTATACACAGTTTCGATGATCTAATTTTATATAATGTAATAATCAAGTACATAATGAAATAATTGAAATTTAGACCAAAATTAGTTTAAAATAAGAGTTTTCATATTCAACTCACTAAAGTGAAGCAGTCCCCAAGCAATGGTCAGGTTTCTCAATCATGAACCTATTTGTATTCAATTAAAATTCCACTCATACCTAAAACCATTTTCTCTCACAACTAATGCAACCAATACTTATCCAGTAATTGTCTTGTAATTCCTTTTATGTTATCCACTTACAGACAACCAGCTACCATTAAATTCATGGTAGGCATCATCACAACAACCCTAACAATTCCAGAAAGCCGGTCTTCTCTTAACGAGCTAGCTAGGCGAGTTACTGTTCAGTTTACATGGATTCCTGGACACATGTACAACTTGAGTAACTGTAAGGCAGACAAACTTGCCAAGGAAGCTTTCTGACATTTATTTCTCAGACATTTCTCAGATACTTGCAATGGCAAAATTAGCAATTAAACAAAAATATTCGAACACAGCTAAATTAGATAATTGGGCGTATTAGTTGTGCTCGTATAAGAACGTACTACTTAACTCCTATTAAAGGAGTAACCTATTCAGTACTACGGTATCAGTGCTCATGCGTCACTGCATACTTGGTAGTTATGGTATTAAACTGGGTATACTCTGCAATGACTTTTGGCGTGTTTGCAACTCTGTGGACGAGGAGGAAATTGTGCGCCACCTCATATGTCAGTGTCTATTGTTGGCTAGGAGAAGAATTTAAATCTTCGCGGATTTTTTTCTTCTGACCTAACCAAGCTGTCATCCTACAAAATCAGGGAATCAGCGAAATTTACAGAATTATCAGACTGGTTCTCTTTTAACTCAATAGGAGAGTCGTAACTTTTAGCTGACCTCTAGTTGGCGCATATACACAAGTTGATCTTGTGGCACTACAAAGGGTCATTATTTGAGCACAAGGCTACCACTCCAAACTAACCACAATAAGAACCAAACATGCATTTGAAATTGTTGTTTTTAGTGTGGCTTTGATAGGTAAAGCAAATTGCTGCTAATTTTTCCAACAACGATAAAAGTAGTTTTTACAAATCACTTTTTGTAAAAATTCATGAAGAAAGAAAAAAATATTTGTTTAAGTCTCTCTAGCCTACAATTGCCCGAGAGTCTTTGTGTTCAGGAACCTAAGTAAGTTGAAAACTGATGCGCCAAGCTAGCTCGAGGATGCCACTCGGCATTCTCGAGTGTTATTAGAGATGTGAATCTAATGTCTCCCAGAGATTTAATAGCAGCTTGACTGTCCAAAAAAAAATTAAGTGAAATTGCTTAAAGTTACTATCTATGCACTTTAGTAAGAAAGACGTTGAAGAGGTAGTGCATGTAAAAAATTATTTTAATTTTGTCCGTGATTCGATGTTGCTTGTTCGATAGATCAAGCAGAAGAGATCGAGGGCACTTTTGCGAAGCTGGGAGCTACCAAAGTCAAACGGAGCTTTTCCAGACAAACAAGTGGATGTCCCGTTTGATAGCAACCATGCGTTCGAATAATATAGCTTGAATGCTCCGTTATTTTAGATATCCCTATAGCAATGATTAGAAAATGATCTAATATTAATTTTGCTTCGACTGAAATTACAAATAAAACTTAAAAATGAAGCTAATTCATTCTCAAAAAAAAACATGCTCTTATTTCATCGCAAAATAATATAATAAAACCAACCCCAAAAAAAATCCTGCATTATTTCTTGTAATTAAGACTTAAAGCAATTCAATTTCAAAATGGATTTTTTCTGGATACAGCACAAAAACTATTATTTGAACTATTACATGAGTAGAAGTGGATCTTTATATAATATCCACAACCATAATCATTTCACATTACTTTCCTATTATATTCCGAAATTAATTACTAACCTATGTAGAGCTTAATCTAGTATGTTTGCTATGGCAATGCGGCTCGTAATTAATAAAATTTTATAAGTACAAATGGAAATCAACAGTAAGCTATACTATAGCACTATTAATAAGTAAAACTGTTCTAATATTGTATATATACAAATTGCCATAATATGAATTATTGAAAATGTACTATAAAAA